TTTTCCTGTGTTTTCAGGTGGCCTTAGAAGTATTTGATGTTACAGAAATACTACCAGTTGATTTCCATACATGAAAACAGTCAACTGCCTACTGTAATGGTCATTTTAGGTTTAAATGTTGTTTTGTCTTCATTGTAAATTTGGTCCTGGGTTGTTGGCCACTTAGAATGATTGGCTTTATTAATGGTCTTTTGGTCATAGCATAGACAAGCTCATTAGGACATGGCTTATCAAGTCATCCTCAGTGCTGGGCCCTTGTCCAGGCAGTGGTCTGTGTGTATCATTTCAGTAACTGTGCTTTGTCCTTCCTAGGTACAGTGGGGGCAGGAGAATTTGTGAGCCCCTGTGAGAGTGGAGACAACACAGCTGAACCTTCTGTCCTGGAAGAGCCAAGAGGGCCCCTGCCCCTCAACAAGACCTTGTTTCTGGGCTATGCCTTTCTCCTCACCATGGCCACAACTAGTGACAAGCTGACCAGCCGCTCTAAACTACTAGATGGGCCTACAGGAAGCAGCGAAGAAGAGGAGGGTAAGTTCCCAGGGGCTCTGATCCATGCACTGTCTTTCCATTTCCTTTGTGAGGCAGTGTTCTTTTTGTTAAGGCAGGGGTGTGGGCCAGTGTTTACCTTGATTCTGGTCAACTTTAACTTGTGCCCTACTTCTGGTCTGTAGACTTTCACAAAATTCTCAGTGAGTGGTTCTCAAGATAAGTCTTGGTACGCATCTGGGAGACAGATTTTTTTGTTTTGTTAATTTATGTACTACATAGATAGAGGTACACACAGATATATACTTATATAGATTTATACATGGGTATATTTGTATATGTACACGTGTGGAAATCACAGGGCAACTTGGAAGAATCAGTTCTTTCCTCCTACCTTAATGGGTCCCAGGGAGTCAAACTCAAGTGTGCAGGCTTGGGTGGTACCTTTGCCTGCCGAGTCATCTTCCTGGCCTAGGGAGTCTCCTTCTTCATATATAAAACGAATGATAAAAATCTATCAAGGTTAAATTGCTTTTTTTCCAACAATAATGGCAGATGGGATTAGAACACAGTGCTGGCTTTACCTTCCAAGAACCATACAAATAACCATGTTTCTGATGACTTGCCACCTTTTCCATGTATGCTCTAGCACCTACTTAAGAAAACTCATGTGGAGGATGAATTTTATTCTGAATAGAAGGGATTGTGGTTGTCCCTAGTGCCCTAGGATAGTTGGGAAAAAATTAGCTTCTAGGCCCTTTCAATTCTTGGACTTCTCATTAACCTTAAAATAAATTCTTCTGTCATTTATGTGGCATCTCTCACTCTGTCTATGTGGAGTCTGTAGTCCAGTGGGGTAACTTGTATCTCAGAGGTCTGACAAATGTGTGGTGTAGGAGACAATGTGTAGATCAAATATAGCGAGTGACGGAAATCTCCAGATGTCTGTCCAAGCTAAGAACTAGATGGAAGTTGTTTATAAGTTAGAGTTAGGCCGGTGACGGTGGTGGTGCACGCCTTTAATCCCAGTAATCAGGGAGGCAGAGGCAGGCGGATTTCTGAGTTCGAAGCTAGCCTGGTTTACAGAGGAGCGAGTTCCAGGACAGCCAGGCTACACAGAGAAACCCTGCCTTGAAAAAAGAAAAAATAAACAAACAAACAAGCAAAAAGGTAAAGAGTTTCGACTAATGTCGAGTCTTGCAAGAAAGGAATCAAAATGAAGAAATATGATTGTTATAAAATGGTACAATTGAAGATGTGTTATGACTCTAATTATTCCTAACTACTCACCAGGTCTAGCCTCAGAAACATACGTACAGAGCATGGGAAGAGACCAGGGAGCTACATTTAAGATTTCTATGGTTTGGAAGCCACATATGAAAAATATGAGTAGAGATGTTTTGGTGATGGGCAGTTGGGCCATGAGAGCAGATGTAGTATGTGTCACACAGAATTCAGATAGGTACCGTGGAGGAAAAAGTATGCACTCAGTGACCTAGCCCGATCTCAGAGAGTCCCTGCAACCGCCTGGCATTATGTTAAAGATGGTTATAACAACCTAGCCCTTGAAACCAGACTTCACACAGCAGTTCCACATAAGCGTGTGTTGCTTGGTGCTGTATAGCTCAGAAAGTTGACTGATTAATGGGAGATGTGGAAGTTGTTCAGTCCCTTAAATTAATGTGTCTGTCTAAGCCCTTACAGATAACTGCAGAATAGAAAAGGAAGCAGCAGTTACAAATAGGCATTAAAGTAGTACCTAGGAAACCAATCATTATTAAAAATAATAATTTGGTTATTTTTTATATGTATATATAGAATTTTTAGAAATTCCTCCTTTCAACAAGCAGTATACAGAATGCCAGCTTCGAGCAGGAGCTGGGTATATCCTTGAAGACTTCAATGAAGCCCAGGTGAGGCTTTTTTTTTCTTGCTATCCACTTTCTGAATTGAGAAAAGACCAAGAGGGGTTTGAATTTCAGAGTGCTGTGCCATTCTGCCACCTCAGCCCAGCATTTTCATTGTATAGGAAGAGAAGCTAGAACCTGGGGTTAGGTGGTAGTGGTGTTGAGAGAACAACAGAGCTATTGGTTTTGCCGATTCTCTAGCTTGGAAGGTTGGGTGGGTACCTGGTATGGTTGACCTTGAGATTTAGGTCTTCCAAAAGCCATAGGTGTGATAGGGTAAATGTTTCAGAAAGCAGTTTGGGCTTCTCAGTGAACAACACAGCCTTAGGTATGAACACAGATTAGATGGTATTTTTGATACCAACTAGAATTCTTCTTATTGGCTCTCGAGAGGGTATATCAGGTGCAGCTAATCAGGAAAGGTTTCCCTAGACACCACCAGACCCATCAGCTGGGCTCCTTTTCTTCCAGTGTAACACAGCCTACCAGTGTCTCCTAATTGCGGACCAGCATTGTCGAACCCGGAAGTACTTCCTGTGCCTTGCCAGTGGAATTCCTTGTGTGTCTCATGTCTGGGTCCATGATAGTTGCCATGCCAACCAGCTCCAAAACTACCGTAATTATCTGCTGCCTGCTGGGTATAGCCTTGAGGAGCAGAGAATTCTGGATTGGTGAGTGTTTGGGATCCCTTCTTGAGCTGAGACGATAGGAAGACTAGCTTGTAAGAATCCAGTAGTCTAGTCGGGAAAACAGTGTTACTGGAAACTGGAGTGCCTGTAGACATTTGAAATGATTTCGGTAGTCAAGTACTTTATTGCTAGCGTCTCATTCTACATTGGCTGGGAACCTTCTGAAGATGTGGGAAGATTAGGACCAGTATTCCCTACTAGTGGAAGCACTGAGATTAGGATTAAGTTTCAATCATTAAACTTAAACGGGAGGGAACTCAGGAGCATAAGTCTAGGATCCCAGAGTGCATACCTCATCAGAAGAGAGGCAGGACTTATTCCACTACATGACCTAGTTAGGAAAGCATTCAGATGTGCAGGAGTGCCTTTGCAGATGATCTAATTGTTAGTTATACTAAGGTTCTTTCCAGTTCCCAAACACTGCATCTTCAACTCCTTCATAGGCAACCCCGCGAAAACCCTTTCCAGAATCTGAAGGTACTCTTGGTGTCAGATCAACAACAGAATTTCCTGGAGCTCTGGTCTGAGATCCTCATGACTGGAGGGGCAGCCTCCGTGAAGCAGCACCATTCAAGTGCCCATAACAAAGGTACCTGGAAAGTGTGTGTTCACTGTCATTCCAGGGATGTCCATAGACTCACATTGTTAGCCTGTGTGGTCCAAGTCTCAGTCCTTATTTTTAAGAGAAGTCCCATCTTCAAAAAAGATGTGTTAGTGTAAGAGAAGGACAAAGCTGTTCCTGCTTGTATAGTCTCCAGTGGCATTTCTGTTTATTAGGTCTACAAGGTTAGCAAGTGGTGATGACAACTTTTATTTTAAGCTATGAATATACAGTATCTGTAAGAGGGCTTTGGTTGGCAGAGTAGGAATACTGGCTAGAAGGCACCTGTTCTTTTAATAAGAGCTAAACTGAGTGTTCTTTCCTCATTCACTTCCCCCTACTTGTTGCAGACATTGCTTTAGGGGTATTTGATGTGGTGGTGACAGACCCCTCGTGCCCAGCCTCGGTGCTCAAGTGTGCTGAAGCCTTGCAGCTGCCTGTGGTGTCACAGGAGTGGGTGATCCAGTGCCTCATTGTCGGGGAGAGAATTGGATTCAAACAGCATCCAAAATATAAACATGATTATGTTTCTCACTAAAGATACTTGGTCTTACTGGTTTTATCCCTGCTATTGTGGAGATTGTGTTTTAATCAGGTTTTAAGTGTGTCTTGTGTGTAATTGTATTCTTTGCATGAATCTTGTACATAGTTTTATTTGCTGAACTTTTATGATAAAATAAATGTTGACTCTCTTTGGTTGTAGTAACTTGAGATTTCTTCATCTGTTTCTTTGAGCTTAATCTCAGAACATGGTACTATAGGATCTTCTCTTAGTACCAGCAGGCTTAATCATCACTTTAGCAGTACAGCAGACAAAGGAAGATAAACATGTAGGAATGAAATTTATCCTTTGGCACCACTGTCAGTCCCAAGGGTATCCCAGGCTATCTAAAATGTTATGCTTAGAGCACACAAGGGCCTAGATAAACAGTAGTGCCAAAGTTGAATGGGGTTGAGGACAGCTCTGGGTATCAAGACCTGAGCTTATTAACAGCTGATCTGTGGTACTCAGAGCTGACAGGGAAGATGACCAATTGGTATGAATGGACAGTGACTATGAACTTGACGGGACAATTTTCTGTAAAGTAAGCGTTAACTGTCAAAACTGCTGGAAGCCATTCCTTCCTGGCACTCAACGTTGTCCCCATTAACAAACAACCTGTCACTCTCTAAATCAAGGCTACTTATTAGTCTTTATGTTCTCTATAAAGAGCCAAACAGTAAATACTTTAGGCTTTACAGTCATTTCATCTGTCACAATTTCTTGTCTTTTGCTGTGAGATGAAATCAATCATAGACATTAAGTAAATGCGTATGTGTGATTGTTTGAATAATACTTTATTTATAAAAACAAGCAGTAGGCCATTGTCTGCCATGCTTTGCTTTTAGAGGTAACAATGGAAGGGATCCTCTGTAGCTGACAAGTACAGACTTTCACAGTGGGTGGTAAAAAATGTGTAGCCGAAGAGAACATTCAGGGACTACAGACAGGCCTGAAGACTGTACTCTTTGTTTATGCTGATAGGAACATTAGTGACTTCACTATTCGAGCATAGGGAAAAGTTTGCAATTTTCACTGTCTAACATCTGAACAATTTGACTGCTGTCATCTTTAGCTAGAACTACCCCTTTTACCAGTCTGAAAGAATTAGAGAACCTACTGGTCAGGTTTTGAATATCCTTAAAGGAGGGGGGCTCTTAAATCTTAAGGACAATCTGTATAGTTATAAATTATATGGTACAGAGGAGGGAAAGTCCACAGCCTGTCTTAAGTCTTTTCTAATTTGGTGGTAACATCTCAATGCTGACCTTTTCATAAGAATGATTCCTTTTTTACATGTGAACCAATCCTAAACATATTTTATTGGTTCTCATTGTTCTCTGTGGTATCTTGAAGAGTCCATAGGGACATCGTAAATGCTCAATACACCGCTGTTGCACAAATGAACCCACCCAACAGATGTCTTAGTGTAAAGGAATAAAGCCTTTGAGTGGGTGAGAGACAGCTGGCTCCAGTCCCCCCACAGGACTGGTAGGGAGGACTTAGACCTCTGGACTGCTTCTAGAAGAAAAGGTAGCATCCTTTTACCAGTCTGCAGGCATCTTGTGATGCCTGGGGAGGCTTACTACAGACATCAGAGCGTGGTAGGACCGATGGTTACTTCATTTTAAGAACCAGTTTTCACATCCCAAAACTATAAAAAGGAAAAAAAGTTTCATTAAATGCTATGCTTTCCCAAGAAGCATGGTCATCTGAGATACAGCTGATGTTACCTTGATACTCCAAAAGATGTTTGGCTTCTGCTAAAACTAGAAAGAATGACACCGCTGAGGATCCAGCTACCACTGGACCTCATTATTAGATCTAAAGAAGTTTAGAAGAGGCAGTGGCCAGTGAAGCATGGTGCCACAGCTGCACTGCTAGAACGTGTCAGAGCAGATTGTGCAAGCCACACTGCCGCTTAGAACATACATAGTCTAACCTAGAACCACCCTCAGCTGTAGTAGTTCACCACGCTGATGATTTTTACATAATCTCCAGATAAATTATGAAATAACTCCCCTCCCCTCACTTCCTGTATCTCTGAGCCTTGCTTATAAAATGAGAGTGTTTGTAGATGAAGGCTAAAGTTTTGGACTTTTACAACTCATGAAATTCCTTCCCCAAATCTAATGAGTTCTCCAAGGATTATTCTTACCTGCCCAGAGTTCCACCAGCCTGGGTATAATACTTGTTATAATCTAGCCGGAGCAGTAGCTGAGCCAAATCTGAATTGATCTGGTGATTCCGAACACTGGAAAGAATCTTGAAGAGGAGTGAAGACTGGCGACTAAAGCCCTGTTGAGAGACCCAAGCTGTCACTACCCATGCAGAGTGCTAGGCGCCTGGGGTCCCCTCAGGACCACATTCCCATTTCTATAGGCTCCTAAAACGACTCTGACTTCTTAATACCATGTCCGTGAAATGCATGGCTTCCATGAAAGTGCTTTTTCATTAGTAAGAATTTAAAGCTCATTTCAGATTAATATATTCTATCACAAAGCGGGATTGCACCGAGCTTGCTTTGTTACAAGGAGATAAATATATTCTCAGATTATAATTACAAGTGAGATGGGAGGCTGGTTCAGGGAAGGAAGTGGGATGTGAGAAAATGAGCACAAAGCCAATGCATACTTGGTGGGCTGAACTATTTCTGAACACTGTGAGGCAGTACATTAATCATCTTCAAAATCCACTGATAGCAACGCTTTTATCTTTTTATCTTGTCATTTCTTTGTTCTGGGATACACTTTATTGGCTCAGAGCAAAGGCTGTTTGCTCAGCGGGGTGGGGGTAGGAGCATGTATCCAGTGGCCAGGCAGACTCACCTTCACAAGAATGCTCAGCTGGGCAGCCCCCCGTTCATCCAGTGGACCCAGGTTCTGACTGACCAGTGAACAAAAACTGTGACAGAGATCTAGGATTTCATTCAGGCAGTGAAACACCTACCCAAAAATATAGTTGGTGTTAGGAAATGAAGGAAGAAACTTCTGAAAATGCAAGGTTTGGGAATAGTCTAACAGCTGACCTCCCCTGTCTGAACTCCACACAGACACTACCCACCCTCAAGGCTGTCTAGCCCTCCCAAACAACATGCAGATGAATATCCCTTCCTGGGACAGCTGTATTCTTTGTCCCCCTGCACAAAGCCTCCACTCTACTTGCCATTCGCTCACCAACCTTTATCAGACACACTGCATGTGCTCTTGCCTTTGAGCTATGAGCACTGTTCCTGGGATTTCTTTTCTCTTTAGTACCAGTCAAGCCCCATTCTGTGAAATGCTCCTTCCCCACTGCAGCCTTTAGTGAACTCCGCCTTTCTCTGTTGTAGTATCTGTGTTGTTTACTGGCAATTGTCCAGGTCACGTGTGCTGTTGCTGACTTTTGTATGTACATCTTGTTTTTCCAACTAGATTGTGAGCTCCTTAAGGGCAGAGCCATGACTTATACCTCTTTGTATCCCCAGTGCCTTGCATACAGTAAGCACTCAATAAAGACTTCATTATGATGACCTGTTTTGACGTTCTGCTTTTTTCCTCAGGGATACACCCCTGCCATGTAAGAACAGTACCTGTCACTGCTGTGTTTTTTAGCTCACAGAACCCTCTGAGATACTGACTACTTTAGTCATTTTCCCCTTATTTGGCAAGTAACAGCCCCAAATACCAGAGCAAAAAGAAGCCTATACCATTTATGGTTGGCGCCCTGAGCAGTACAACTTGTTCACCGCAAACATTCAAGTATAAACACTATATGGGGATTATTTCAGTTTCTCACTTTTCATTTTAGGATTAAAGCTGTATGCTTAAAAATTACTTATGCCTGGATCCCAATCTACATGTTTGACTTAGATGTCCTTTGGTCTTACATCGTCAAGGTCACAGATAACTCCGGTATGTATTCAGAGTTGAGAAGAGCTTCCACAAAAGTGCTAAATGTGTGTACTTGCGGATGGGGGACACACTCAGAATGACAAGACACTATGTACCTATGAAGAAAACTTTCAAATTATTGGTTGATCCTGGTGCTGTAGAGTCAGGAAGATTTCTGTAACTCATTTCTTCTGGGGGTTAAATACCTAGTTCTTTATCTACACCTGTTCACCACACCCTATGGTACAACATTTCAGTTCCCTTTTAATGCTGCCTCTTTATTTTGTAAAAATGGAATTGAACAAGGACTTAATAAATTTCATAGTTTGTCAATTCCAAGAGTCTGAAGGAATATATTAGAAGTACTCTTACTTACTGGTTTCAGCAAAATAAAGGATTGTGCCAACAGATTGCTTAGGAAGTGATCATGTGCCAATCGGATGCTCTCAAAGTCCCGCGTAGAATTGATCTGATGAAGAAGCTGTGAGAACTGAGACTCCAGCACATCTACCTGGCAGACAGATGATTTGTTTTACCACCTGGCACATCCTGAGTGCTCTATTTTATGGTTCTTCTCACCTTTTAGTATGAGTGTGAGTGTGTGTGTGTGTGTGTGAGAGAGAGAGAGAGAGAGAGAGAGAAGAGAGAGAGAGAGAAATGTCTATGCTGCAGGGCACATGTGAAGGGCAAAGGACAATTTTCCAGGGTCTGTTCCAGTCTCCTTCTACCATGTAGGTCCCAGGTCATCAGGCTTGGTGGCTCTAGCCTTCACCACTCAATCATCTCACCAGCCCTCGTCTTCTTTCTAGCCACTTTAGGCTGACCAAAGACATACTTCAATTGCTGAGCCTTGTAAAGTGTGTGTGTTGCTGGGGCCTTGTGTATGCAAGGGAAACTCTAGCACTGAGCCTCATACCCTGTCATCTGTTTGTTTTGACACAGGGTCTTGCTACGGCCCAGACTTTATGATTCTCCTTCCTGACACTTCCCAGTGTGGATGTTATAGTTGTATGTCAACGGGTCTGATTGATTGTATAATTTCTGTTTTTGAGACAGGGTCTTATGTAGGCCAGGCTAGTCTCAAACTCACTGTATAGCTAAGGATGACCTTGAACTTCTGATCCTCTTGCTTCTACCTCTCAAGTGTTGGGGATTATAGACTGGTGCCATCATACTCTTCCTGTATGCTACGTAAGTATTCTACCAATTGAGCTATAGTTCCAGTCATGGTTGTGCAGTTATATATATAAAAAAATTACACGTTTTGCTCGCGTATGTGTATGTATATCACATGTATACCTGGTGCCCACAGAGGTCAGAAGAGGATGTCAGATCCTCTGGGACTAGCTATTGGATTAGAGCTACTGATGTTGTCAGCTACCATATGGGTGTTAAGAACCAAACCTGGGTCCTCTGCACATGTGGTTAGCATCCTTAACTGCTAAGCCATCTTTCCAGCTCCATGGTGTGTAATTTTTAATAGCTTCAAATGTCTTTGCAGACCACTCTCCCCTACTCTGGCCTAATCCACTCACGTCTCATCCCTTCCACTGACTGAAATGGTTAGCAACAATAGGCTTGTTGAACATGTAGTCAAGGGGCAGCACAAAATTCTAAAATGAGATTCTTTTGGAAGGGAAGGGGCGTGGTAACTGTTGTATGTTTTTTGGGTGTGAACTCTGCAAATAATGTCATGTTACAATATCAAAAGACTGGACATGCTTGAGAGTTCCAAAATGTCTGGCAAACAAGTATCCTGAAGCCTAAATCCCTTTATCTGTGGATATCCACTTCCCTTTAAAATGCCAAGAAACATACCTAGTGATGTAACTCCTAAATTTTCTCCAACTGCAGCATTTTACCAGACACAGAATTGCCCCATCTCAGTGTTTTCTAGGTTCCCTTCCCTTCCCACCTCTTCCATAAACCGCTCAGAACATACCTGGAGATAGTACTGAAGATTATCTACTAAGAAGGCCATGTGATTTCTTAGGCGCCACTTGACTGCATCTGTCTGGTTAGATTTGAGGTGCTTGCGCTGCATCTGAAGGGCCCAGCAGTGCTGTAGTTCAGCCTGGACACGGCGCACACTCAGTAAGTACTTGAAAACAACATTGTACCTATGACAGAAGCATCACTGAGATATGAACCTTAATCTAACATCCCTTCACACAAAGACAGGCAGGCTAGAAGAGTGGTGAGAAGATGAAATGAATTTCAGCTATACAACACAATAACCAAGCCTCAGTAAGAGAGCCAGTGTCCTCTTTTGATCCTGCAGTCATTGACATCACACATACCCATGTACACACATATTAAAACAACATTAAAATATTTTATTAAATATTAAAAACCAATACCTTAAAGTTTAAATATTAAAATATTTTTATTTTATATTAAAAACATTAAATTTTATAGCAACATTAAATGTTAACACCCCCTGCATCAAACTAGAACTGTGGGCATCTGTGAGCAGTTAAGTCTTTGAGTCTCTGGATAAGGCCTGTACACCTTGTCTAGTTGGGCTGTGAGCTCTGAACCTGTTGCAGAATCCTCCAACAGACTCACCATTTCCTGCTTATACCCAGACTGCCCAGTTTCTTATTATTGTAAAACAGTAGGCATGTTGTGGAGAACAAGCTAGACAGACGGGGGAAGGCTGAAAAGAGATGTCTTCCTCGTTCCTGTAGCCAGCCATAGAGAATGGGGTTCCTCATCCTTTCTCAGGGTGCAGTGTGCTTTTTTCATCTCCTTTCTGGGGATATCCCATTGTGTACTGGGCAGGTGCTCATCCCAAGGAACAAGTTTGCAATCAAAGCATCACATCATGGTCCAGCCCCCTCATTCCATCTCCCTAGCTCGGTTGTCTCCTCATGGAGGTAAGAGGATTGTTCATTTTTAGTTAAATTGACACAAAACTAAGGTCATCTGTGAAGAGGGAGCCTCAACTGAGAAAATGTTGTAGAATAATCTTTTTGTACATGGTGAAGATCTGTCACTCCAATTGGTTTAATAAAAAGCTGCAAAGTCAATAGCTAGGCAAAATTTTCAGGACAGAGAGGACACTGGAAAGAAGGGTAGTGTTGTGAGGAGTCAACAGCCAGACATGGAGGAAGCATGGACAGGGTAAAGATAATAAAGCCATGAGGCAGAAAGTAAATTTAGAAATGGGTTAATTTAAGTTTTAAGAGCTAGTTAGAAACAAATCTAAGCTATTAGTCGAGCTTTTATAATTAATAAGTCTCTGTGTCATGATTTGGAAGCTGACAGGAGGGACAGAAAAATTCACCTACAAGAAAATGTCTCCTTTAGAGTGATGTGTAGGTAAGTCTGTGGGACATTTTCTTGATTAATGACTGACATGGTAGGACCCAGCCCACAGTGGGTGGTACCATCCCTGTGAGGTCCTGAGTTGCATAAAAAAGCAAGCTGAATGAACCATGAGCAGCAAGCTAGTAAGCAGTACTCCTCCATTACCGCTGCTTCAATTCTTGCCTCCAGGGTCCTGCTCTTTCCTTTCTGATCTGTAAGCTACAAGCTGACATAGAAGTCTTTGCTCTTATGTCACAGCAACAGAACCCTAACTAACATAAGGGTCACGAGGAAATTAACATTATCAACAACAAATCATAAAAATCCGGGGGGAAACTTGTAAGGATTGTTGGAATAGGCAAGTGCCAGAACTCAGTGTGTTACCTGAGACTTCATATTTGAGAGACGACAAACTAGCATACAAATAATAAGCCTACAATTATTTATTATTTGTCAATTGAAAAGAGAAGTCTGGGTCAGGCATGTTGGTATATACCTTTAATCTCAGTGCTTGGGAAGCAGAGGTAAGCAGATCTTAGTGAGTTTGAGGCCAGCCTGGTCTACATAGTGAGTTCCAGCACAGCTGGTGCTACATACACCCTGTCTCAATCAAAGAAGATGGCTCAGTGGTTAAGAGCACTGGCTGCTCTCGCAGAGACCTGGATTCAGTTCCTAGCCCCCATATTGAGTGCCTCACAAATCATCATCTCCAGTTTTGGCCAACGTGGAAAAAAGCATGCACGTGGGCATATGCCATGGCAATCATGTGAATGCCAAACTGGACATCCCTCTCCACCTTGTCTTAGACAGGGTATTTTTACTATTTGCCTCTTCGTAGGCTAACCTGGCTGGCTTGTGTGCTTACTGATATTCCCGTCTCCACCTCCTGTTTCACAGTAGAAATGCTGGGATTACAGGCATGGACACTCACGCTTCACATGCATTCTGGGGATCAAGCTCAGGCCCTCACCTTTCCTCACTGCTCTTTCTCCACCCTAGCCTGGTGACTCTAAGTGGATGTGCCTTCCCATTCACTCAAGTCCTTACTGCTGTTTCATGGCTGTCAGCTCACTTATTAATGTGAGCTGTTTGGTTTTTGGTCAACTTGACACAAGCTGGAGTCACCTAGAACAGGGACCTTCAGTTAAGGACTGCTTTAATCAGACTGGCCTGTGGGCAAATCTGTGGGGCGTGTTCTTGATTGATGATTGATGTGGAAGGGTCCAGTGCACTGTGATACCACACCTGAACAGGTGGGTCTGGGATGTATAACAAAGTAAATTAAACAAACTGAAAAGCAAGCCAGTAAGAGGCACTCTTCTGTGGTTTCTGCCTCTGTTCCTCCATGAATTCCTTAGGCTGACATCCCTCAATGAAGAACTGTTATCTAGACATATATACCAAATAAGTGTCCTTTCCTCCCAAGTTGCTTTTTATCTTGTCTTTTTCATAACAACAAAAAACTAGAACCTGTCTAGCTCCTGAATTCAGGCAAGTTTGCAACCTCTGGCTTACTAGTGTAGAAACCAGCTGGACGACTGGCTCACTTCTACCAATCTTACTCCTGTTCATTTACTTCTTCCCTTGGATATAAAGTGGGGAATACTTACTTGGGAAAAACTCAGAAATACTTACTTTTCCAAGACGGCTGGGGTGAAGAGAATATGTAGTGGCCACTGTACTTTATAGGAGAGACCAAGAGCTGCCCAGCCGGAAGCAGGGGCTTCCCGTGGGGATGTTTCCCGAGAAGGCCCTTCTCTTGGCTGGGTGGCATCTGCTACAGTTAATAAGATCATGAAAAATACTTTGGTTAATTAGAACCAGAGAGACCAAGATGAACTGCACACATAAAATAAGGCCTCAGTGGTGTTAAATAGCAGCACATAGAGGCAACAAAGCCCGAGGGGAGGAAACTGCTGTGAGGGCTTTTCTGAGGTGTGTTTTAGACAAAAATATAGGTGCAATCTCAAAAACCTATTGTAAGTGATATTTCATTTGTATTTTAATAAATAAAGCTTGCCTGAAGATCAGAGAGTAAAACAGCCATGCTGGCCAGCCATACAGACCAGGCAGTGGTGGCAAACACCTTTAATCCCAGTAGCCACACTAGTTTTGCCACAGAGGCCTGGTGCTAGTGGTGCATGCCTTTAACTCCAGCACTAGAGACGAATATAAGACTGGAGGAGACAGGTCTCAGCTCATTCTCATTCTGAGATTTCTGGAGGCAGGATCACCATTTCGGTCTCAGGTAGAGGTAAAAGCCAGTGGCTGGTTGCTCTGTTTTTCTGATCTTCAGGTTGAACCCCAATATCTGTCTCTGGGTTTTTATTATTCATGCTACAACCTATGGACAGAGGACCTGAACCTTTCTGGAATTACGTTTGTTCTTGTACAAAATTAGAGAACTAGACTAGGTGATCCCTAAGGTCCAGAACTCGTTTCTGTGGAGGGAGGATGATGAAAACGAGAAGATGCAGAAAGGAGGCAATCGGAGAATAACAAACCTTTATGGTCCTTTCCATGATACTCAATCGTCAAGTGTAACAGAGGGAGAAGGTTGTCGTCATCTAGCAGCACCTTGTGTGCTGACTGTTGAAAGGCCACGTTTACATCTGCAACAAAGACACAGAAAGCAACAGTAGGGCTCGGGCTAGGGCCAGGACATCTGTGGCTTCTGTCTGACCAGCATTAATGTCTCCTTGTTCTTGTAACAATCCTGAGAATCACCCCTGCTTAGTACAGTCCCTGCAGTGTCAGCGGAGTTGGCAACATTCAAATCAAATCAAATGGATCTTGACAGCTGACATTTTATAGACTTGACCTGATCCAGGCCAACCCAGAGGCTCTCTTCAGACTCTAAAAGAATGTAGCTCTTTTGAGATCAGTTTTAGTAACATATAAATTTGGCAAGAGCAGCCGTTGGGGGTTGAATGACCCTTTCATGGGGGTTCCAAATCTGATTCCTGCATATCAGATACTGACATTATGATTCGTAACAGTAGCAAAATTAGTTATGAAGTAACAAGGAAAATAATTTTATGGTTGGATGTCACCACAACATGAACAACTGTATTAACGAGTCACAGGGTTAGGAAGGTCGAGAACCAATGGGCTAGAGCCTGTTCTACTGGCCAAGAAGACCAATAATTTCTATCCTTTTTATTTGCTTAAATGAGTCTGAACTGACTTTTCTGATATCTATAACAAAAGTTACAGTAGATATCTGTTGTCTCATTAAACTATAAAACACTAGTCTCTATTTTTCCTCCCATATCCTTTTTCTTGGCTTGGATTCTTCCTACATTCTCTTCTTGTGTCTGGAAGGAGGCAGCCATTAACTGGCCAAGGGCTTTGCTGAACTAAGGCCTCACTTCTTCATTGTTACAATGATCGCCATGTGACCTGGGGAGGGCCAATTAAAATAAAGCACTTTACTAGACTTTAATTTGCTGCTACAGATCAGGCTGCGCTGTTACAGATGGCGGTGGGGGTGTTCAACAAAGGTAAGGAGCAAAGTCTTAACAGTACTGAAGACCATTCTTTTACTTGTTCTGAGACCCAGTTACAACGCAAACACAGGGAGCTTTAGCTATAACTAGACTTTCCTAGGTTAGGCTTCCATTACTTATAAGATAAAATAGGTTGAGGTGGCTAGAGCATGGTAGTTAAGAGCACTGGCTGCTTTTGCAGAGGACCCAGGTTCTCTTCCACATGCCCACATGCAGCTCACAAAAAAGAGTCACTTGTGACTCAAGTTCCCACTCTTCTGGCCTGTGCAGGCAAACATACAGAGCACAACATCAGCCAAGAAACACCCTGCAACTTGAGCCAGCTGTTATTCTCAGGGCCACGGGACAATTACCATGCTCTGTCACTGCAGTGGGTGGTGTTTTTAACATGTGTTGAGCTGTGTCAATGAAGGCCTGGAACAGTTCTCCTCGTCCCAGAAGGTAAAAGTCTTTAATGATCTGAGGAAAGAATTTCAATGTACAAGTGAGTAAATCAGAGCCCAGAGGCCCTTACTACCCGAGAGAATCAGACAGATGCTCTCAGTCTGAAGGACACAGGCTTGGCATTTAGAAAGATGCATACAGGGCAGCCTTGCGAGAGGACTCTGTGTTTGATGGCATTCATAGCACAACAGAGGGAAATGAAAGTGACTCTTTATGGAGTCCAGAAGTTGCAGCATCACATACAACTTCCTCACCTGAGTAAACAAGTGAGTCTACATGGAAGTCTAGGCAAGAGTGCTTTCCACAATCACCTCAAGAGTCAAAAGAATGTAAGTTATTACCTTCAGCTGACCCAGTAAGTCTGACTCCTCGACCATTAGCTTCCAGAGGTGCTGTGATGAAATTAGAACAACAAAAACAAACAAAAACGCTTAAGTTCATTATAGTGAACCCAAGTTCAGCTAACCCTAGGAATGAACAGATAGTTAAACATAGAGAAACAAAACAAAAAACCTATGTAAGATAAAACTGTGCTGAAATTAATGGTTACAGCTGCATATACAACTGTGAAATTAAAAACCACTGGATTGAATCATTTTAAAATATCTACAATATTGTTTGTGTGAATTTTGTATCAACTTTTTTTGTTTGTTTGTTTTGTTTTGAGAAAGGGTTTCTCTGTGTAAAGCCCTGGCTATACTGAAACTTGCTCTGTAGACCAGGCTGGCCTTGAACTCAGAGACCCACCTGCCTCTGCTTCCAGGGTGCTGGGATTAAATGCAATACCACCACCTGCCCTTCTTGATCACGATTTATGAAAAGCAAAAAGAGACCTGGGCTTAGTGGCCCCTGCTTGTCATTCCAGCACTGGGAGGCTGTAGCAGGAGGATGTTCACCAAGTTCCAGGCCAACCTTGTTTATGCAGCAAAATCCTTTTTTTTTTTAAAAAAAAAAAAAAGATTGGAGAGAGAGCTTAGCAGTTAAAGAGTACTACTGGTCTTCCAGTGGACATGGGTTTGACTCCCAGCACCCACAAGGTGGCTCACAACAATCCATAACCCCAATTCCTGGGAATCTAGCACCCTTGTCTGGCCTCCGAGGACACCAGGTGGGTGGGCATGTGATGCGCAGATATACATGCAGGCATAACACCCAGATATGTAAGAAAAAACCACACAACTCATACATGCATTGAAATACTACATGAAAGGCTGGAGAGATAGCGGCTTAGTAAGTTAAAAAGCACTGACCCAGGTTTAATTCCCAGCACCCACCTGGCAGCTCACAACTGTCTGTAATTCTGGTACCCGTGAGAAAACACAATTGCGCATAAAATAAAAATAAATAAAGCCCCGAATACTACATAATTTTCCATATATACATAATTTGTTTTTAGTGTTCAAATTAGTATATCTTAATATTTAAATAAGAAAAAAGAAAGACAAGTAAAAATGACCTAAAGAATTTATAAATTAAGGGAAAATGAGAAACAAAAGCTTGCTCTAATTAGTTTATTAATCTTAATAAAAGCCTAAAAAGATGAAACAATAATGAGGAAAATGGGGGCTAGTGAGATGGCTCAGTGAAGAAAGCGAGCTAAGCAAGCACCAGGACCCGAGCTCGCTGGGTACAGTGCTCATGCCTACAGCCGGTGCTGGGAAACAGCCACTCAGTAGGGCCTAATGGAGAAGAACCCTTGGTTTTGTGGGAGACGCTGTCCTAAAAAGAAAGGTGGAGAGTGAAAACAGAAGACATCAGAGGCTGATCTGTGGGGTGCATGTATGTGTGCACATACAGGCAACATAAATACATATACCACAAACACACAAAATAATTTTTAAAAGACAAAATTTGAATAAACAAAACATAATTCAGACAAGTAAGTATTTTAAAAATTAAATCTACCTGAAATAGTTAAGTGCTGTAGAATATCAAAATCGTTACACACTGCTGCTGTGAGCACCAGCCTTCAGAAGCCCAGGGATTGAAGTCTACGGAGTCAGGACTTTCCTATCTGAGGGAGTAAAATCTAATTCTCTGGGGCCAGGGAAAAAGGGAAACACACACACATATCTCAAACACATCCGGATCTCACCTGGGGTGCTAATGAATGGCAAGCCTTCAGCAGGTCTGAGAAACTGAAAAGATGCAGAGCAGAACTACTGGACAGACAGACACATGAGGACTTTTCTGACGGCCAAGGATGAGTTTTTATTTTATTATTCTTTTTGTTGCTTGTTCTACTCTACTCTTTTTTTTAAAAAAAAATATTTATTTATTATGTATACAATATTCTATCTGTGTGTATGCCTGCAGGCCAGAAGAGGGCACCAGACCTCATTACAGATGGTTGTGAGCCACCATGTGGTTGCTGGGAACTGAACTCAGGACCTTTGGAAGAGCAGGCAATGCTCTTAACCGCTGAGCCATCTCTCCAGCCCTCTACTCTACTCTTTTTCTGTTCTGTTCTTCTACCCTGGTATTTCTCTTCTCTCTCTCTCTAGATGTCTTCCTTCTACATCTTTCCTGGTGTTTTCCTTCTCTCATGTCTTTATTTTCTCCCTTACAGCTTCTCTTCCCCAGCAAAATCTTTCAAGCAATATAAAAATTACAATGTGGTTACATTCTATTTTCAAGTGAATGATTACAATAAATACAAGTGAAAAACAATGTTTTCCATATCTCTTACATGAGTGAACATTTTAGGCATTACAATTTTTTTCAAGAACCCACATACAGGGCTGGAGAGATGGCTCAGCGGTTAAGAGCATTGCCTGCTCTTCCAGAGGTCCTGAGTTCAATTCCCAGCAACCACATGGTGGCTCACAACCATCTGTAATGAGGTCTGGTGCCCTCTTCTGGCCTGCAGACATACACACAGACAGAATATTGTATACATGATAAATAAATAAATATTTAAAAAAAAGGAACCCACATACATTCATACTGAATCAACTTGTTATAGATTAACATGTAAGCAAGCAAAGTATTTTTCTCAGCTAGTTCTTTTGCTGGGAGGCTGCATTTAAAAAAAAGAATCAATCAAGAAATCTTTAAAGAATTACAAATTTAAACTTTTTTTTTTTTTAAAAGTTTTTCGAGACAGGGAGCCTATCCTGGAACTAGCTCTTGTAGACCAGGCTTGCCTTGAACTCACAGAGATCTGCCTTACTCTGACTCCCAAGTGCTGGGATTAAAGACATACGTTACCACCGCCTGGCTACAAATCTAAACTTTAATATATGAAAAATAATCAGTCATATTTACTTTAAATCCTCAGGATGGAGACCCACTCATCAACAGTTTTTACATCAAGCAGCTCTGGGCAGAAATGGGTACAAGGAATTAATCAACATTTTTGATCACCAACCCATCCTAGCAAGAAAGGTTTGTCAGCAATAGCCAGGCTGTCATTGTTCTTGTTTCTTGACCTCAACGAGTCCCTCGCTCAACTATGTGCTTTTCTAAATTTTAAATTGTTCCCCAAGATTTTTCCATTGCAAAGCCACTAACAAAAACACTTTAACCTAACTTTACTAACAATTCTTTCTAAGTGTGGTGCTTAAATCATTAATCTGCTTCAGCAGCACTGCTTGGAAAAAACTCCATCACTGTCACTGTAAGTACCAGAACTTAGAGTGAGGGGCTAGAAACGCCCTGAGAGCCTTCATACAACCTATAGATTATGAGGGATGTGGTGACCACAACGGCTATGCTCAACAGCAGCATGAGGTCTCCAGGGCTCACTCAGACATGGCTTTGCCAACCACCCAGTCCAGCCATGTTTCAGAGTTCCCGTCCTGCCTGTTGGTCCTTTCATATGGGACCCCAAAGTTGAAAGAAGAAATTTTATGGTAAATTTAGTTTCAAACCTACTCAACTGGTAAAGTTTTTCTTCCTGAAGAAAGCCAAGCTTAGATCACTTTTTAGAGAGGTTCAAACTTTCAGTAACGATTCCTAATATTAACTTCCTAACAACAACAAAGGAACAGGACAGATAACAGTCTGCAGCTGATAAAACTGAGCATCCCTCAAGATAAAAACTGTCGAGTAGAAGAGAATTCTTTAACAAACTTCTGCTCTAAAAGCCTACAGTAAATGTCATAGCAATGCAGTAACCATTTGCATAATCTCTAGGAGTCAAGAAATCAGAGACATCCATTATCACCTCTATCGTTTGACACAATTTATACAAACAAAGCCATGCTGACTAATGCATCATTAAAGATTTTAGATGAAAAGAAGCAACAGTGTAGGGGGAAAAGGTTTAAATACTGGAGGAATTATTATAAAACATTATGTTCAGATGATGTCATCTTTAATATATTTTAAAAATATTGGGCTGGAGAGGTGGCTCAGAGGTTAAGAGCACTGGCTGCTCTTCCAGAGGTTCTGAGTTCAATTCCCAGCACCCACATGGTGTCTCACAATCATCTATAATGAGATCTGGTGCCTTCTTTTGGCATGTAGGCATACACGCAGACAGAACTCTGTATACAAAATACATAAATAAATCTTTAAAAAAAAGTTATAGAATGTCAGGCGGTGTTGGCACATGCCTTTATTCCAGCACTTGGGAGGTAGAGATAGGTGGCTCTCTGTGAGTTTGAAGCCAGCCTGGTCTACAGAGTGAATTCAAGGATAGCTAGGGCTACAGAGACAAACCATGCCTCAAAAAAACCAACCAACCAACCAACCAAACAAACAAACAAAAAATCAAAACAAAACAAACTATTAACACCTTTCATGTTGCGGAATATTTGTTTAACTATGTAAAGATGTTTGCATTTGTTCAATTACATAAAGATGTGTTGCTGTTTTACCTTGCCTGTCTACGGCACCTGGCTAGTATAATAAAAAGTTGAATGCCTAATAATGAGGGAAGAGGCATAGGCAGGACTTCTGGGCAGGGAGAATAAGTAGTAGGAGGAATGTAGGCTGAGGAAAAAAAAAGATACCAGGGAGACCCCAGGGGCCAGTCAGCCAGACATGGAAGAAGCAGGAAAGTAGGACATACAGAATGAAAGAAAAGTAAAAAGCCCTGAGGCAAAACATAGATGACTAGAAACAGGTTAAATGAAGCTAAAAGAGCTAATGGGACAAGCCTAAGCTAAGGCCAAGCATTCATAATTAATAATAAGTTTCCATGTCTTTATTTGGAAGCTGGTTGGCAGCCCAAAGGAAAGTCCAACTACACCCAAGTTGAGAATCTGTAAGATTACCATCAATAAATTAGCACTGCTATTTCTCCAAATAAACAACAATCTGAAGATGTAACTAAAACAAAAACTCTTACATACACACAAATTAAAAAACCTTATTGTGAAAATACTAACATATATACAGTTAAGTACATACATCATAAGCTTTCATCTTGAAGTTCATAATCAACACACCAATATAAGTGCCCTCAGTTCAGGAAGTACTAGCACCTAGAAGCCCTACTCATTCATCCCTTCCTGCTTGTCTCAAGGGCTGGACCACTGTGTCTGCTTGGCTTTCCTCCTAAAATTCCTGTATACAAGTGAAATACATGGCTGATATTAAAACACAACACACACACACACTTTTCATCATCCAAACTCATGAATGCTAGAAATTATAAGTAAAGCTTCCCTGTTAGTCAATTAAATTAGTAATTGAAACAAACCTGCAGAAGGGTGAGTTCTACTTCTATTTTAAAAACAAAGGGAGTTTTTATTTATTTTCTATGTAAGGGTGTTTGCCTACATGTGTATCTGTATACAACATGTCTGCCTAGTGCCTGTGGGGGTCAGAAGAGAGCATGGATCCCCTGGAACTGGAATTACAGATGGTTGTGAGCTACTATGTGGGTCCTGGGAATCAAACCTGAGTTGAATCCAGTGCTCTTAACCACTGAGCCATTTCTGCAGCCCCACAGAGAGCTTTCTCTTTTTTCTACTTCTTGTCCTTTACTTCTCTCTAAACTCATTTCTTCTGGAACAATATTAGAAGACAAACCTCAGCCACAGTGCTACGAATTCGATCCACCACCTGCTCAAAATCCACAAGGCTGAAGAGTGGCTGCTGCTTGAGCCGATGCAGTTCTGCAGCAAAAGTGTCCTCCTGGTTCTTCAAGATAGAGCCTGTGGAGTACAAAGGTGCTCCTGTCACACAGGAGTCATTAGACGGTGGCGGGCCACAGCTGCCATGGCAGTCACTCTAGCCCAGCATGCTCTGGGTCAGTGCTGCAGATGAGGAGCCTCTGAGGATGTGGCCAGCAGAACAAGGGGATTCTTTTTTTAAGGTGTTCCTTTTTTTTCCCATTTTTTAAAATTAGTGTTTTACCTGTATGCATGTCTGTGTGAGGGTGTTGGATCCCACAGTTACAGACAGTTGTGAGCTGCCATGTGGGTGCTGGGAATTGAACCTGGGTCTCCTGAAAGAGCAACCAGTGCTCTGAACCACTGAGCTACCTCTCCAGCCCCATAGGGGATTCTTACCTTTCCTCGTCAGGTTCACATTTTGATTCTCAAACATCTGAACAGATTCTCCAACAAAGAGGATTTTTTCAGCAACCCTCACTGGAATGTAGGATGGTAAAATCTCCATCCGCAGGGAAAACTGCTTCAGAGACGGGGCCAGCATGTTCTCTTCCTCAATTAGGCGCTAGTCAAGGAAACAACCTGTCACATGAAGTATGACGATAGATCTTAGCTCCTCCAACCCATGATCTATGTTACTGGCAAGCAGGGTTTAAATCTGAAGTTGTACAATTCTTTTTTTTAAAAAAATATTTATTTATTTATTATGTATACAATATTCTGTCTGTGTGTATGTCTGCAGGCCAGAAGAGGGCACCAGACCTCATTACAGATGGTTGTGAACCACCATGTGGTTGCCAGGGAATTGAACTCAGGACCTTTGGAAGAGCAGGCAATGCTCTTAACCGCTGAGCCATCTCTCCAGCCCAAGTTGTACAATTCTTAAATCACAGCTCTGGAAATGTTCTCCATTTTCATGGAAAACAGTGGCATGATGGAAAGCACTGAATTTGGGTTAATGTATTTTGTTTTTAATTTACTTTTGTGTACACAATGCATGTCAGTGTGGGCACACATGGGCCAGAGCGTATGTGTGGAGGCCAGAGGACAACTGCAGGTGTCGGTCCTCACCTCCTTTCTTGAGACCAAGATCTCCTTGTTCTGCTGTGATGCCAAGCTAGCTAGCCTTCAGACTTCCAGGGATTCTCGTTTCTGCCTTCCATCTCACTGCAGGAGCACTGAGATTACAGGTGTTCACACTAGAGCATCTGGCTCTAACATGGATTTTGGGAATTTGAACTCAGGTCCTCACACTTGCAGAAGCACTTTGACCTATGGAGTCAATCCTCAGCTTAGCACTGTTTTTAAATATAAAGCTTTACTACTGTGTCAGGTGGGCAGATGCTAAGCTTCCTCATTTGCACAATTCCATAACTTGGTTGTAATTCTCCAGGTCTCATGTGTGTGTGTTCGCTGTCAAGACCTATCTCAGACTCTTCTCTCTTGATCTACATTTTTCAGAGAAGCATCTTATGTGGCTTCACTGGGCAGCTTAGCAGGTTGTTTTAACAGGCCTGAAACTATAAATGCTGTGGACCTTCTACTAGACATTGTACAGAGAACCTCTTGCAGCTTCCTGTGGGCTGCAGAGTAAACACTTCTAAACTGCTGCTGATTACTCCATGCTTAGCTTCAGAGCAAGCTATACTAGTCTTCCAGGCTGAGCCCACTGGACATGTCCCACAGGCTCCTTAAGCTCAATACATCTCATATTAGTCCTTGAGCTGGGAATATAGCTCAAAGGCAGAGCACTTGCTTGGCCTCAGGTTTGAGCCCACAAACACCAGCAATACACATTGCCTGTCATCACTATCCACTTAGCACCTAACTGCTAAAGGCTAATTAATAATTAATTATAATTATAAAAATAATTAATAATAATTGACTCACGGCCAATCTCTAAAGGGCTATGGATTCCATTTTCTAAACACCTCTCAGGCTTCTCTGTCTGCCTCCAAATTCACTGTGTCCATGCTTGGAATGATTATTTTTTTTTACCTAAGAATCCCCAAGCCTCTATTAACTAGTCTATTTGCCTCTGTTCTTGATTTTTGTTTTTGTTTTAGAAACAGGGTCTCACTCTGTAACTCAGACTGATTTAGAAATCCCTATGTAGGCTGGGGTGGCTTCAAACTTGGGGTAATTCTTCTGCCCCTGATTCTTGGATGCCAAGATTACTGATATGCAATACCACATCCATCTTTTTATTGTTATTTGGAGCAGGGAGAAACAGGGTCTCACTCATTCTGTCAGCCAGGCAGGCCTTAAAATAATGGTGCTCCCTCTGCTTTAGCCTGTCCTATAAGGAACTGATATGCACCACCATGCTAAGCTTCTGATCTTAGTTTTTAAGAAATGGTTCCCACATATCACCTAAAATGACATATCATAAAGGCTGTCATTCTTGTCCTGAAATTATCCAATTGCTCACACTTAGCACTTTTCACTTTCAGTCTAAACTCTTTGTGCACAAGGACTCTCAGGATTTTGCTACTGATTCACTCAGCACCTTCATCTACTGCCATCTCCCTTAATCCTCTACCATACACACCAAATACTTTATTTAGCTTTACCTGACTATTTCAGCTGAGATTCAAATGGTTCTTCCAATGAGCCTTGTTCTTAATAGCCTTTACCATTATACACAATCCCTGGACATGCTGTGACCTGTCTTACCAAACTGCAATTTAGAAACACTGAAAAGTCCTCTCTAGTTTTAAAACCTTACTTCAGGATCTTCGAAGAATAGCTACACTCTTTGGCAGAGCATGTGGTAACTGTGATGTAACTGCCTACTTTTCTCTATTTCCCATCAAATTATACACTTCTTAAGGATAAGAACGACATTTGTCTCTGTAGTTGGGTACCTGTAAGAGTGCCCTGCACATAACAGACATTCAATGAATCTAACAAGGGAAATGAGCCAACAGACGAACAAATGAATATGGACATACAAGACTCTGAGGAGTCTATAACTCCACGCCACATGAAAAGCTACAGGGTAGTTCATATTTGCAGAGATAAACTTATCACTATATTTGTAAATGCACGTAATGTAGAAAGGAAAAATAAGGATTTCGAAATCACTTTCTATATTTTGTAGTCTCTAACTAGGAGAAAGCCCAGTGTTTCTAAGTGATCCATTCATGGCAGGCAGTCAGCAGGTGTCTCTAACTAGTGCCTGCCCTGGGCTTCCTGCTGTGCCCTCACCAGGTCCTGCAGTTCTCGCAACTGTTTTCCCGTCAGTCCTCCGATACCCAGATCCTCTTCATCCTCTTCCGCCTGGGCACTGACGTTACCGGAAGACGGACCCTGTTTTATGAAGAACTCATCATGCTGGTCCAAAAGGAGTCCGTGGAGCATCCAGGCTGAGAGCTGTTTATACATGACTCCATGGCAGACAGCCAGGATTCTGAGGAGAGAAGGAAGCGACCATTACCAGTCCACTTAAAAGAATACCAAGCACTGCCAGAGATCATGCTTGAAATTCTGAGAGGACAGACAAAAGCTTGAGAGTGTGGTGAGTCACGGGGAAAACAAGGTAAAAATAACTTGGCTAATTTAATTGCCAACAGACAGATTGATTAAGCCCAACCTGTACTACATACTTGATTAAGCTCAGGAAATGTTCTTTTAGGACAAAAATTTTGTTCTTTGTCGAAGTTTCAAAAGTGATGAGTCTTATAGAAGTGGATGTAATGCAGTCACATTTTGCTTAAAACAGCCTTGAATTTATATTCTTCTTTGAACATTATAAGGAAAAAGATTCAATATGTGAGTACCAAGTTGACAGAATAATGTAATAACTCAATAAAATGCAGAAATCAAAATAAAACGCAGGAAGATAGTTGGAGAATGGACACTGAGAGGTTTGACAGGCAGCCAGCATAAAAGAAAACACAGTTACAGTCAAGACAGTGTATCTATCTCCAGAAGAGCCCACCACAGCAGGCCCTGAGTACCGCAGCATACGTGGAACACAAGACAAAGATCTGAAAACAGCCTTTATGAATATGATACCTATGAAAACACAAACAGTGGAAGGAAACAAATAAAACCATGCAAGACAAGAAAGTGGATAGAATAAAAAAAAACTGAAGAAAATCTAGAAATGAAAAATTTATGAACTCTAACAGGAACCTTAGAGGCAAGTCTCAGCAACCGAATACAAGAGATGGAAGACAGAATCTCAGGCATTGAAGACATGAAATAAGAAATAAATATATTGGGGGCTGGAGAGATGGCTCAGTGGTTAAGAGCATTGCCTGCTCTTCCAAAGGTCCTGAGTTCAATTTCCGGCAACCACATGGTGACTCACAATCATCTGTAATGAGGTCTGGTGCCCTCTTCTGGCCTGCATACATGCAGAAAGAATATTGTATACATAATAAATGAATAAATAAATATAAAAAAAGAAAAAGAAATAAATATCTTGGTCAAAGAAAATGTTAAATTTAAAAACTTCTAGCATAAAACATCCAGCAATCTGGAAAACCATGAAGAAGTCAAATCTAAGAATAATAGGAACAGAGGAAGGGAAAGGCACAGAAAATCTATTTTCAACAAAATTATAGAAGAAAATTTCCCTAACGTAAAGAAGGAGGTGCCCATCAAGGTATAAGAAACATACAGACAGCAGGCTCATGCCATTAATCCCAGCACCCACGAGGTAGAGGCAGGTGAATCTCTGTTGAGTTCTACAGTTGAGTTCACTCTGGTTTACAGAGTGTGTTCCAGGACAGCCAGGTTTATACAGAGAAACCCTGTCTCAAAACAACAAGAAAAAATACAAGCAACAACAACAACAAGACAACAACAAAAAGTATACAGAACACCAAACAGACTAAAAAAGTTTACTCTGCACACAATAATCAAAACACTAAACACACAGAACAAAGAAATATTAAAAGCTACAAGAGAAACAGAACAAGTAACTTATAAAGGCAGACCTGTTAGAATTACGCCTGACTTCTCAAAGGAGACTCTAAAAGGCAGAAGGGCCTGGGAAGACTTGTATATATCCAAAGAAAACACAGATGCCAGTCCAGACTACTATGCCAAGCAAAACATTCAATCACCATAGAAAGAGGGAAAAAAACTTACCAATTTAAACAATATCTACCTACAAATCCTGTCTTATAGACAGAGCGAGGAGGAAAAACTCCAACCTAGAGGTTAACAACACCCAAGAAGACACAAGGAATAAATAATTACAGACAACAAATTGAAAGAGGGGAAACACCTACCCACGCCCACTGCCATAAATAAACAAACTCTATTCATTGATAATCTCTCAACATCAGTGGTCTCAATTCCTCAACAAAAAGACAGATTACCAGAACAGATGTGCAAACAGGATCAATCCTTCTACTGAACCCAAGAAACACACCTTAACATCAAAGACAGACATCTAAGGGTAAAAGGATGGGAAAAGCTATTCCAAGCAAGTAGACCTAAGAAGCAAGCTGGTGAGGCCATTTTAATATCTGACAAAATAGACTTCAAACCAAAACTAATCAGAAGACAGGGAAGGACACTAAGTACTCTTCAAACAATAACTCTACCAAGAAGACACTGCGATTCTTAACATCTATGAACCAAACACAAGGATACCCAAGTTCATAAAAGAATACTACGGCTTAAGTCACATATTGACTCACACACCAACAGAGGAAAACTTTAATACCTCACTCTTGCCAATAATTGTAAGAAAACCCTGAATCCTATCTGACCACTACAGATTAAAACTGGATATCAACAACAACATAAACAACAGAAAGCTTATTAACTTGTAGAGACTGAACAACTCACTAGTGAATGAAAAATAGGTCAAGAAAGAAATTAGAGATCTTGTAGAATTGAAATGAAAATGAATACACAACACATCCAAACTTACGGGACACAAGGTGGTTCTAAGAGGCAAGTTCATAGTTTTTAGAACCTACATTAAAAAACTGGAGAGATCACATACTAGTAACATAATAGCACAGCTGAAAGCTCTAGAGCAGCGGTTCTCACCCTTCCTAATTCTGAGACCCTTTAATACAGTTCCCCATGCTGTGGTGACTCCAAACCATTATTTTTGTTGCTACTTCATAATTAATTTTGCTACTGTTATGAATTGTAGTGCAAATATCTGATATGCAGGATATCTGACATGAGACTCCTGTAAAAGGGTTATTTGAACTCCCAACTGTCAGGTTGAGAACCACTGCTCTAAAACAAACAAAAAAAAAGAAACCATATTTAAAAGTAGACAGCAAGAAATAATCATACCCAGGATGAAATCAATGAAACAGAAACAAACAAAAACAATATAAAGAGTCAAAGAAGCAAAGAGTTGGTTATTTGAAAAAATAATCTTAAATTTTACAAACCCTTATCCAAATTAACTAAAAGGCAGAAAGATAATATCCAAATTAATAAAATTAGAAATGAAAAGGGGGACATAACAACAGACACTGAGGAAATCCAGATAACCATAAAGCCATATTTTAAAAACCTGTAATCCACTAAATTAGGAAATCTAAAAGAAATGGATAATTTTCAACACAAAACATTTACTGAAGTTAAATCAAGATCAGATAAGCAATTTAAACAGACCAATAATCACTAATGAAATAGAAATAATTATTAAAATTCTCCCAAACAAAAAACAGCCTAGAGACAGATGATTTTAGCGAAGAATTCTACCAGACTTTCAAAGAGTTCATGTCAACAATATTCAAATTATTCTATAAAACAGAAATAGAAGGAACATTGCCAAAATTGTTTTAGCAGGCCATGTTTAACTGATATCCAAAACACATAAAGACCCAACAAAGAAAGAGAATTACAGAGCAATTTCCCTTATAAATATAGATTTTAAAATTCTCAATAAGATACTTGAAAAAAGAATCCAAGATCACATTAAAGATTATCCACCATGATCAAGTAGGCTTCATCCCAGAGATGCAGGGATGGTTTAACATACATAAATTGATAAATGTAGCCACTATATAAACAAACTGAAAGACAAAAACCACATGATCATCTCATTAGATGCAGAAAAGGCCTTTGACAAAATCCAACATCCCTTCATGATAAAACTCCTGGAGAGAAAAGGAATATAAGGGACATACTTAACATAATAAAGGCAGTTTACAGCAAGCCCACAGCAAACATCAACTTAAATGGAGAGAAATTCAAAGCAATTCCCCTAAAATCAGAAAAAGACAAGGTTGTCCACTTTGCATACCTATTCATTACTGTACCCGAAATCTTAGCTAGAGTGCTGGAAGGCCCTGCTGTTCAGAGGCCGCAGTCTACCACAGCCTGGCAGCTTTCTCTAAACTCAGCAATATGGAGCAACCCCCCCACACACACAGAGCCCCCTGCAAACGCTCCCACTGATGACCCACATGGTAATTAGACAAGTGCTCAAGTCATTTTGATAGGACCCTACTGCCACATACGAAAAGCCTCGCTATAGCAGAGTGCCACTTAATGCAAATTAGGGTTTGTGCCTAGGCTTCTCAATCCTTTATATTCCTTATACTTTGAAATAAAGTTGAGCTGATTCATTAGAGTCTATCTCCCGGAGGGCTGTTTCCATTCATAGCTACAACCATCTTGAACCCTGTTCCCTGCTTGTTTCCTCCACCCTCGTGGGCCAATGCAGCTAACGATCCACAGGAGGAGGAAGCAGAGCCGCACTAGAGCAGTAAGACAACTGGAGATCAGCTGGAAGAGGAAAGGTCGAAGTGCCCGTACTTTCAGATAGTGTGACAGCACGCATAAATAGCCGTAAAAATTTTACAGGGAAACTCCTAGAATTGATAAACACGTGTAGTAAAGTAGCTGAATACAAAATTAACTCACAACAATCAGTAACCCTCCTATATACAAATGACAAATGGACTGAGAATGAAACCAGGGAAGCAACACCCTTCACAATAGCCTTAAATAATATAAAATATCTTTGGTAACTCTAACCAAGCAAGTGAAAGATTTATACGATAAAAACTTTAAGACACTGAAGAAATTGAAGATATCAGAAGATGGTAAGATATCCCATGCTCATTGAAGTAATAGTAATATAGTAAAACTGGCTTTCCTACCAAAAGCAATCAGATTCAGTGCAATTCCTATCAAAATTCCAGTCCAGTTCTTCACAGACCTTGAAAGAATAATATTCAATTTCATTTGCAAAAACAAGCAAATAAACAAAATCACAGGATAGCTAAAACAGTCCTGAATAATAAAAGAGCTATCACCATCCCAACTTTAAGTTGTACTACAGAGATATAGTAATAAAAACAATTTTGTATTGGCACAATGACAGACATAATGATCACTGGTATCACTTAAAGACCCAGACATAAATCCCTGTACCACTGGACACCTGATTTTTGACTTTAAAAAAAAAAGTAAAAAATACACACTGAAAAAAAATAAGACAGCATCTTCAACAAATACTGCTGGTCAAACTGGATGGCTTCATGTAATAGGATCCAAATACCCATAAGTCACCCTGTACAAAATTCAAGTCCAAGTGGATCACAGACCTCAAAAGAAATCCAGATACACTGAACATGACAGTAAAGTGAGAAATAACCTTGAACTCATTAGCACAGAAAGACTTTCTGAACAGAGCACTGTTAGCACAGGCACTAAGATCAATAGGAAACTTAACAGTTTCCACATGGCAAAGGATAGCATTATTTGGACAAAGTAGTAACCTACAGAACGGGAAAAGATTTTTACCAACTATACATCTGATAGAGAGCTAACATCCAAAATATATGAATATATGAAGAACACCCCCCCATCTATATATTAAGAAGCTTCTACTGTATTAGGTAGAATATATTAGTATATGTGTGTGTGTGTGTGTGTGTGTATACACACACATACATATAAAGGAGATCTAAGTGAAATTGTTATATATTGGGGGAGAGAAACATCTCTTGTCACCAAATAAAGCTTTTAGTACTAGAACTGGGTTACATCTAATTGAGTCATTGGCCAAAAGGGTCCCAGGTTGTTACCAAGACTATAGGTTGCTCACTACAAATTGATAGCAAGTTTCCATTGCTGAAGACAACACCTATACAACCCACTGAAGATGTAGAAGTCAAGCTGGTGCCTACATAAAGAAGAAAGGGAAGGGGTGTGAAAGGCCTCAGAATCCATCTACCACAATTTTGTAAAGAATGCTTGTCTATTGCTATAAAGAGACACCATGACCATGGCAACTCATAGTTTGTTTGTGTTTTTTTCGAGACGGGGGTTTCTCTGCATAATTTTGAAGCCTGTCCTGGAACTCACTCTGTAGACCAGTCTGTCCTTGAATTCAGAGATCCGCCTGCCTCTGCCTCCTGAGTGCTGGGATTAAAGGCATGTTCCACCATTGTCCAGCCATGGTGACTCTTATAAAGCAAAACATTTAATTGGGTGGCTTACAGTTAAGAGGTACAGTTCATTATTATCATGGTGAATTATTGCAGCATGCAGGAAAACATGGTGCTGAAGAAGTATTTGAGAGTCTCTCATTTTGCAGGCAAAAGGAAGTGAACTGAGACACTGGGCATGGCTTGAGCATATATAAGACCTCAAAACCCACCTCCACAGTGACACACTTCCTCCAACAAGGCCATACCTCCTAATAGTGCCACTCTGGTGCAGGAGAATTGTCTGTATTGTCAATTATATTTTAAATAAATGCTGATTGGCCAGGCAGGAAGTATAGGTGGGTCAACCAGACAGGAAGTAGAGGCAGAGCAATGAGAACAGGAGAATTCTGGGAAAGAGGAAGCCCATTCCTCGCATTCCTGCCAAGATCACCGAAGAAGCAAGATGTAACCTGCCTGGCTGAGAAAGGTACTGAGCCATGTGGCTAACAAAGATAAGAATAATGGGTTAATAGAACTTATAAGAGCTAGCAAGAAGCCTGAGCTAATGGGTCAATCAGTTTATAATCTTATGGAGACCTCTGTGTAATTTTTCTCTGGGACTAAACGGCTGGGGGACCAGGTGGGACCCGGCTCTTTCATATTACACCACTCCCTTTGAGGGTCATTTTCTTTCAAACTACCATAAAAAAGCTATACTTGCTTTTTTAACCATGAGGAAAATGAAATAATATATGAGCAGTCTTTGATCAGACTCTATGTTTTTCTTGAAAGGATGACAATGGAACCCAGGGCCCATAATAGACAGGCATTCTACTACTAAATTACATATCCCAAACCCCTCTTTTTATATTTTTATACATATGACAAATACAATTTGACATCATTTTTCATCATTATAAATTATTTTATATATTATTTTGTTATTTACAATTTTAATAACCATAGTCTTTTAAGTGAATATTTAACTTAAAAATTTTTAATTACATTTATGTATTCGTATGTGTGTGTGTACATGTGTGCTGGCATGCCTTTACCTTGTACCTATGAGGAGGTCAGAGCACAATTTGCAGTGGTTCCATGTCTCTATCATATGATCCAGTGACAGAACGTAGGTTGTCAGGCTTGGCAGTCAACACCTTTATCAGAGGATCTATCTAACAGCCCTAGGTTTCCTTATACTACTGAAAATTTTTCTAATTCCCTGGTAGACAATACAGCAGCAAGTATGCTTGTGAATAATTTTCTTCTTTTACATAATTTTCCTACTGGGCTGGGGAGATAGCTCAGTGGGTAAGAGCACTTACTAGGCAAGCACAGGACTTGAGAGTTTTAATTCCCTACACCTATGTATAACCTGTGCATGATTATACCCCAACATTGGGGAACAGAGACAGGCAGATTCTGTGAGTTCATTGGTTAGTCAGGTTCAGTGAGAAAACCTGTTTGAAGGGAATAAATTGGACAGTGACAGCCAGACACTAGATATTCTCCAATATTCTCTTAGGGCACATGTACCTGTACAAACATGTATATAAATGCAGAGACTAAATTAATACTTTTGTTATAATAAAATTTCTAAGTGTGCAACAGTATAGGATATAAAGTATAAAAATTGAAGGATTTTGATGTGAAAAATACTGGCTACTCTTCTTTCCCACACCACCACTTTATCTGCCCCTCCCCCTTCTTTCCTCTCCCCTTCCTTCCCTTCCTCTTTTACCTTCTTAGCTTTCAACCCAGGCCTCTTTAAACTTTCCACATACCTGAGAATGATCTTGAGCTCCTAATCTTCCTGCTTCTACCTTCTAAGTACTGTGATTATAGGCATATACCACTATGTCTAGTGAATCCTAGGGCTTTTCTGTGTGTACATATGAGGTGTGTGTGCATATACATGTGTGTGTATATGGGGTGTGTGTGTATGGCATGTGTGTATGCACATGTGTGTATATACAGGGTGTGTGTGTATGTATGTGTGTATATATGGGATATGTGTATATATAAATGTGTGTATATATGGGGTACGTGTGTGTATGTGCATGTGGAGGCTATACAGGGAATCTTCCTCAGTAATGCTATACCTTATTTTTTGAAACATCTTTCACTGTACTTGGAGCTTTGCAATTCAGATAGCCTGGCAGGTCAGCAAGTCCCCACACCCGGCTCTTTAAGTGGGTGCTAGGGATCCACTGATGTCTTCACACTTGCACAGCAAGGGGTTGATTTATTTACTGAGCCATCTCCCCAACCCTGGGGCTTTTCTATCCTAGTTAAAGATTTCCCACAGGAAAAGCAGATATAACCTGAAAATAAAACATGACAAGTCAAATCACTGACTCCCCCCTCTACCCCAATACTTAGGGAAGCCATGACTTACTTTTCCAATGCACTTCTAACTGGAGGCAAACCCCCACAGCTATGCTTGTAAACTGTTTCCAGGATTTGACAGCCATGAATCTGTGGAAAAGAGAGCCTTGTCACTCTAGGTTACATAAACTCACTCTAGACCAACCAAGAAAGCACAGTCCAGTAGAGAAGGCTGATATGGTCTCTCACAAGATTTCTATATAGTAGTTACACAAAGACAGACTCCCCTTTCCTCAGCATCATCAGTGTTACCTGTTGTCTTAGTTAGGTTTCTTGTTTTGTTATTTTTGTAAAGATTTATTTATTATGTATACAATGTTCTGCCTGCATGTATGCTGCAGGCCAGAAGAGGGCATCAGATCTCATTACAGATGGCTGTGAGCCACCACGTGGTTGCTGGGAATTGAACTCAGGACCTCTGGAAAAGCAGCCAGGGCTCTTAACCTCTGTGCTGTCTTTTCAAGCTCTTAGTTAGGTTTCTAAACCTGTGATAAAACACCATGATTAAGCAGGGCAGTGGTGGCACACGCCTTTAATCCCAGCACTCAGGAGGCAGAGGCAGGTGGCTCTCTGTGGGTTTGAGGCCAGCCTGGACTACAAGACCTAATTCCAGTACAGGCTCCAAAGCTACAGAGAAACCCGGTCTCGAAAGAAACAAAACAAAACAAAAAAACCCCACCATGATTAAAATCAATTTGTTGGGGAAAGGGTTTATTTCAGCTTATAGTTTACATGCCATCATGAAGACAAGTATGGGCAGGAACTCAAGGCAGGAATTGAAGCAAAGACCATGGAGGAATGTTGCTTACTGCCTACCCCCATGGCTTGGTTGGCCTGCTTTATCATCCAGGACCACTTGCCAAGGTTTGAACTGCCTGCAGTGAGCTGGGGCCTCCCACATCAATCAATAACCAAGAAAATGCTCTATAGAGTACCTACAAGTAATCGGATGGAAGTGTTTTCATTTTTTCTTCCCCTCCCCCTTTTTTGTTTTTTTGTTTTTGTTTTTTGAGACAGGGTTTCTCTGTAGCTTTGGGGCCTGTCCTGGAACTCACTCTACAGACCAGGCTGGCCTTGAACTCAGAGATCCACCTGTCTCTGCCTCCTGTGTGCTGGGATTAAAGGTGTGCGCAACCACCATCTGGTTTGTATGCCCTAAATTTATGTGTAGTTTAAGTGTATTATGTAATCATTTTTAGTAATTTTACAGTATTACACAATCATCACTATAACTGTTTTATAATATTTCACTTTAAAACATTCCCCAAACTGGGCAGTGGTGGCACATGCCTTTAATCCTAGCATTCAGGAGGCAGAGGCAGGTGGATTTGAGTTCAAGACCAGTATGGTCTACAGAGTTGAGTTCCAGGATGGCTAGGACTACACAGAGAAACCCTGTCTCAATAAACAACAAAAACCCCAATCCCTTAGGTGAGCCTATTTGCAATTCGTCCCTATCCTCCCCCTTAGCCCATGTTCTTGACCACCTTAGTTTTTAACTGTGGAGCTAGTTCTTCCATCATTGCCTGGCCAGAAAGGAAAGTTCACTTATCTAAGTCCTTCTATTTGTCGCCCATTCTTCCTGTAGTCAACGGAAGCTGAAAGGAAACTGAAATGTACAGCTAGCCATGGACTTCTGTACCCTCATTATTAACTCCATTCATGTAGAAGGTTCCCTCCTATTTTGTGAATTTAATGTATCGGTTAAGAGCATGGTCTTTGAGTCACACAGACTTTGCTATTTACCTTGCTGTCTGTGACCCTGAGCATATGTAATCACATATGTAAAACCCTTAACACAGTGTATAGTACAAAGCAAAAATAATGGGCTTTAACAAGGACGGTCAGCTCTGAAATACTTCCTACTGACTCTGGCAGCAGAGAATCAACGTAGCAGAGCTTTAAATTTCTGTACTCACTGAAAAAGTGCGGCAACTACAGGGTAAGCCACTGGCCAGCTATACTCACCAAATAATAACCTAAGGCACAGATACAATGGCCAAAAACCATGAACAACTGAGCTGAGCATGCTTAATTCATTTGTCTACTTAGTCCAATAATGGGTAAACAGAAGAAAATAATTCTTACAGTGTAAAATCTCTAAAGCATTTTTTCTTCATAGATGCTAATTCCGCCCAGAAAAGACAATCTTCTGACATGGGGGAGTCTTTAACTTTTCAATGTGTGATGAAACTTGTGACAATTTCCTGAACAAATACAACAAGCTGGGTTTTGCCCAGTAGTTCTTAACTCTCAGAGAGATGAATACTTTGCATTGGTATGGATCTTGGTCTACTGATACAAATCTAAAGTTGATTTTGTTACATTGTATATATGTATTTCTGCTCTTGTTTAAGGTATTGCTTGTGCAGCTCAGTTAAAAATGTAATGTATACTTAAATATAGATTAATATAGATAGTCATCTATAATAATCAAGCTTTTAATTACGTTAGTTAGGTTTTCTAGATATACAGAGATATACTTCAGTTAGATAATCTTCAACACTTCAAAGACCTACAGAATATGGCATTTAAAAGACTTTTCTTGACAGTGAGACATGTCTGCTTCCAGCAGCACCAATTGATGGGCATTAAAGAAACTCACTATAGAATTTTCTTTCAGTGTGACAAGGCTAGTCATTTGGACAAGAAACTGCTCTTGCCTGGACTACTTGATGGCATGCTGTATGAACGGGACATGCAGGACCCACAGAAAACTGCTAAACTTTCCAAAAGATGTGATGGTCCTTCAGGATGCCTGCTTTACATAGGAAACTGCCAGACATTCTGCAGGATAAAGAAAAAAGTGACTGACAAACTGCCAATATAAGCAAACAGTCTTTCGAATTTCCTGCTTCATGAAAAGTCTGCCAGATACTATTGAAGATGAATGCCCCAATGTTACAGAAAAACTTTGGGTGACTGTCCAGGCAGTGAGATGTCTTTGTCAATTCTAGAGTTTTAGAAGTTGTTAACAATATACATTCTGCTTGCTTAGGTAATATTATATCCTTCTGGGGTCTTTGATGGAATTGAAGACTAGATAGCTATAATTATAGTTTTTGTTAGTTATGGTAAAAGATAAATTAGATATAAAAGTTTAGACTCACAAAGATGATAGACGATATTTTCCTTAATTTACCAAATGTAAATAGAATAAATATCCTAACTATAATCCTTGCTTAATAACTGTTCTGTATATATAATTTTACTATGTTAAAGTTAAAGCCTTCCTTTTTAATTAGACAGAAAAGGGGAGATAATGTGGGATGTCCTTCTGTATATGTGTTGTTTTTATTGATTGATAAATAAAGCTGTTTTGGCCAATGGCTCAGCAGAATAAAACCAGGTGGGAAATCTGAACAGAGATATAGAGAGAATAGGCAGAGTCAAGGAGACACCACGTAGGTGCCAAAGGAGAAAGACGTCAGAACCTTACTGGTAAACCACGAGCCTAGTGGTAAAATATAAAATAATAGAAATGGGTTAATCTAAGATGTAAGAGCTAGCTAGAAATACACGTGAGCCACTGGCCAAACAGTGTTGTAATTAATATAGTTTCTGTGTGATTATTCAAGTCTGGGTGGCCAGGAAACGAAAGTGTCATCTCTGTTTACACTCAGGAAACCACCTTCTTTCTTTTGTTAGATAAATTTCCTGTTCTAATCCAAAGCCAGTGGTTCTAAACCATTAGTGCAGCAGCCAGCTCTCACCTCCACAAAATCCAGAGTTTTTTTCTCTAACCTCAGCAACATTTTTATGCAGATCCACATACTCTGCTTTTCTATCATTAGCTTTTTGAGACAAGGTTTCTCTGTGTAGCCCTGGAACTCACTATGTACACCAGGCTGGCCTCCCAAGCGCTGGGATTAAAGGCATGCGCCACCACCACCTGGATATTCTGCTTTATTAATCACAAGGTGTTTAAAGAAAGAATAATGTTTTAAGTTCTTGTATTTCTGACATTTCATATGATAAGCAGAGGGATAATGCTGACTGAATAAATAAGAAAATATCAATAACAAGTGTCTTCTAAAGAAAGACTGTAAAATAGCATCATTAGTTTTCCTTTGGAGCTTATCACAGCAGAAAAGTTCTCACCTTTTGGCTTTTAATTTGTTCCACTACAACCATCACAGAAGGGAAAAGGAGCTGGAACTGCAAAGTAGAGAAATTTAAGGGTTTGAGTCAAATACAAGATTAAAAAAAAAAAATCAACTGAAGAAACACTTCTGTTTCCGAGATAATATGACAGCATCAAGATCCAGTACCCTAAGGCAATCTGACATCATGCTTGGCTGCAGAGAGGAAGATGGAGGACAGAAAAAACTTTCTACTTTTGAGTCTGGTGCCACTGCCAATATCCATGCTAATGGGAGAATATTCGCATTACATTAAGAAGTAATTAAATGTGGAACTCTTTGTTGTTTGGGTTTTTCTTTTAGCCGGCCCAGAGCTCACTGAAGAAAACTTATACACCAGGTTAGCCCTTTCCTCCTGAGCACAGAGATGACAAGTAGATGCCACATACACCACACTCTTAAAGCAGTTCTCATCTAGCAATAAAACATGCAAAATACACTCTTTGGCTCTGATACCTTCAGGGAAAAAAACATTTACTATAGTTCCACAAATTGGGAGAGCAACAGACTCCAAAGCATTTTAGCATTCCGATGCATACCTGATCTAAAGAGTAATTGACATGTGATATGGAGAGATGTGGGTCAGCCAGGAACTGTAATAAAAGCACAGTCATCAGAATTCCACACAAAATAACTTGAATTAATTTGCTCTATATAAATCAGAAGACAATATGACAATGAGCTCAGTGTTCATTTTGAGCTCTGAAGAACTAATAGATTATAGATTTACTTTTTAGATAATAATCCAAAACTAGGGCTCTCAAAAATCCACTCTGGAGCCACTTTGAATATGGTACCCTTCAGTCACACAGGAAATTGTTCACTCTTAACTACCTGACCTCATCAAAGGCCACTTCAGAGCAGGAATGTGCTCTTATCTACAATCCCCCAAAGATACAGTTTTCTATATTACCTCCTTCTCACCTCTTGTTCCAGGTCAAGCAGGGCTTGGCGATAAGGCTGCAAAACTGAATCCAGCCCTGTGCAGAAGGCCCTCAGGTAGATTCCATGGAGCCCGCCTTGGCCCTGCTGGGATGGATGGTGATCCTGCCAATAAACAAAGAGAAGTCAACTTTTCAGCTCAGACCCTGAACCTGAGGAAGACACTCTTTAATTAGTAGTACTTGTATTTACTTAAATCCTGTAACAAAGCAGTGTTTTAGCAAGAGGAAATGGATATATGCGAAGGGGTGCAGTAAAGAAATGCCAACATGACTGGCTCCATGGTATTGAGAAGGATTTTACCATAGGGTTTGGTTCCCAGAATCTGTTATATGACAACTTTTCCTGAGGAGATGCAACACACACACACACACACACACACACACACACACACACACACTCTCACCCCGGATGGGGAACCTATGACAGACAGAACAAAGTACAGATACTACTGAAGTCTGACTTAGTTAACCAATCGGTTTCATGCGGTTATTGACAGAAATATGAGTGAGAGATTACTCATAGGAGCAGAAATGTCAAAGATAGCTGTATCACCAAACCCTACACTACCATGGGTGACAAAAAGCTGAGAACCTTGAGCACACTCTGCAGCCTATAGGCAGCTTAACAGGTTAGACTGTCCTGTCTAGGTTGCTTGATTGATCCGAACCTCTTCTAGGCAGCTCAGCTGATTCCTGCTTCTTTCTGGCTGCTTCAGAGGAAGGGGCCTAGTGAATCCAGCTTCAGGGACTTCCTGAAGCTATTCTGAGTTACTGACTTTCTGACTTAAGGTGATTCCTCGCATGGTAGCTCATAACTACGTTTAAGTCGTATTCCTGGGGTACCAATACCTCCTGGCATGGGCAGGCTTAAGGCATGCACATGATACACATATGTGCAGCAAGCAGAACTCATACACACAGAATGGTTTTTTTGTTTTGTTTTGTTTTTTTTTGTCCTGTTTTTTGAGACAGGGTTTCTGTGTGTACCTCCGGCTGTCCTGGAATTCACTCTGGACCCGGTGGGAATCTAACTCACAAAGATCCACCTGCCTCTGCCTTCCAAGGGCTAATATTTAAGGCATTTCCACCACTGCTGACTAAAAGTAAATCTTAAAGATTCTGAAAGACAATCTGGGGGTTGTGAGACTCTCACTAAAGCGTTATACACAATATGACTTGTCTTTCAGGAACCCTTCAAATTGTGTGGCTGGTCCCTGCTGCTTTCCAGGCAGCTGGGCTTGTCTGCAAGTGATTTGGAGGGAGGGGTCTAGGGAATTTGGTCAGTTTCATATAAAACTTCTCCTATACTTTTATATGAGGACTCAATGGTTAAAGTTAGCTGAAGTCTATGAAGGATGCTCAGCCCCTCTTGCTAGGTAGAGATCTGGGTAATGAGGTTTGAGAGTGGTAGGCAAGAGGACAGAATTCAGCACGAGATGTGCTAAAGAAGCTTGGGGTCAGGAGTTAGAAAGCACAGTGTAGCCAGCCAGAAGACACTAGTTGAAGGATCCTAAAGTTCCTAAAGATAAATGTTCCTAGCATGGACATGAGCAGATGGGTTTACAAGCAGTCCATTCTGTTCTGATCTTATGGTATTACAGGAAACTGAAGTGAGTCTTCATCCATCACAAAATGAAAAGAAAGGGGTTTGGTGTGGCTGTTATTAAAAAAAAAAAGCACTATTAGGACTTCCTTTAGAACTGGAGAAGTGGGAATTCTCATGTCATGTAAGATAAAATCTGTGTAGGACACATCAATAGGACAGAATTTTTGTTGTTCTTACCCAGGAATAAAGCAATGAGAAATCTTGCTTTCCCTTGAGCATTTCCAATGACTGATAAACTCATGTGTATTCCAGAAATTCCTAATTCCTAGTTTGAGTGAATTCACACCCTTGCCCTGTAGAAGCACACATCCAGAGCACAGCATCCCACCTGTTGCTGCACATGGCCTGTGTACTGTTCAATGAACTCCGTGAATCGAATGTAGTCTGTGCCAAGCCGGCAGAGTCGATTCAGGACACTAGTTTCACTGGGGTGAAGAAATGGGAAGTCCTGGGAAACCTGCAAGAAGAGGGACAGTCATAAAGAAAAGCCGATGCCAGCCAGTCGCCAGCCAGGTTCTGTAGGGCTGGCTTAAAAAATGCTTCACATTCTTTCTTCCATTTCCTTTCCTTAAGTTATCATGGTTACTTAGCTATAACACTCCCTATCACTGGGTTGGTAACTCTGGTAACAATATAGTTAAAACACTACAAGGTAGAGTTCCTTATCCAGATGTAACTGCTTATTCTTCAAATAGGTAACATATAGTAAAGAATTCACATGCTAAGGGCTGGAAAGATGGGTCAATGTGTAATGATGCTTGCCACCTGACAACCTGAGTTTGAATTCCAGGATTCACATAGTAGGATATTCTTCCAAGTTGTCCCCTAACCTACATACACATGGGGGGGGGGTAGACAGAGACTCCCTTGGCTTGTATTCTCAAATTATGTCTTGCTTGAAAGCTTAGGCAAGCTATGGTACCTCTCAATTTCTTAGTTTTCATATGTAAAGTGATAATTAGATCATATAAAGCACGTGTGTTAATTACATAGAAAGTGCTCAATACAGATATTTGTTTTTTATTACTAACAAGACATTTCTACACAGTTACCAAATGATTATCTCTGAATACTTCTTGTTGGCAGAGTTTTAGAAAAAGTCTAGGTTTAGGGCCAATGAGACGGCTCAGAGGACCAGGTATTTGCTACACAAATCTGAAGACTGAAGACCTAAATCAATCCCTGGAACCCACATAAAGGTAGAAAGAACTGACTCCACAAAGTTGACCTCTACATACACTTTGTGACATGTATGCCCACCCTTGCATATCATACACACATATACTAGTTAAAAAAAGAATTCCATGCTGGGTGGTGGTGGTGCACGCCTTTAACCACAGCATAGGAGGCAGAGGCAGGTGGATCTCTCTCTGGGAGTTCAAGGCCAGCCTGGTCTACAAGAGCTAGTTCCAGGACAGACGCCAAAGCTACAGACAAACTCTATCCCAAAAAACAAAACGAAACAAAAACAAAGCTGAAGAGATGGCTCAGAGGTTAAGAGCACACTGGTTGCTCTTCCAGAGGTCCTGAGTTCAATTCCCAGCAACCACATGGTGGCTCACAACCATCAGTAATGAGATCTGGTGCCCTCTTCTGGTGTGCAGACAGAACACTATATACATCTTAATTCCTAGAACTGACACAACTAGTCAGCTAAAGCTATCCAAGCTTCAGATTTATGCATTCACAAGCCAGGACAAGCAATACTTAAGTTACTCGGTTATTGAGAGCACCAGGCATCATTAATGGAAGCAGAATATGCTAACAGTTCCGAGAGTGGAGCCAAACAGACCTCTGTTCAAGACTACTCTAAACTAATGAATGTGACCCTGGGAGTTACGGTTCCGCACTAGAAGGCTGTGCGATGCCATGAGACAATGCACACTGCGCTATACTCAGTCTCCCGGTCCTAGTTAGGTTCTACTGCTGTGACAAAAGAGTTTCGTTCAGCTAACAGTCCTCCAGGAAGGGAAATCGAAGCAGAAACTGAAGCAGAGAGCATGGAGAAATGCTGTTTACTGGCTCACTCCACCTGGCAAGCACAGCGGGCTTTCTTAACCGCCCCAGACCACCTGCTGAGGGACTCCCACAGCCCCAGTGCATTGGGCGTCCACAGCAGTTATGGATAAAGGACTGGAAAGGGAGGGGGGGAGGGAAGGAGGAGGGAAAAGGGAGGTGGGGAGGAAGTGGAAATTTTTAATAAAAAAGAAAAAAGAAAGAAAGAAAGAAAGAAAGAAAGAAAGGAGAAGAGAAGAGAAAAGAAAGGAAGAAAGGAAGAAAGGAGAAAGAAAGAAAGAAAATGCAACGCAGGCTTGCCCACAGGCCAACACGACGGGCATTTTCTCAAAGCAGTTTCTCTCTTCTCAGATAACTCTAGCTTGTGTCAAGTTGGATGGAAGGAAGAAGGAAGGAAAGGAAGAGAAGGAAAAGAGAAAAGAGACAGAGCGAACTAATCAACACATTCCTCTTATTCCTCTTTTCTGAATATAGGAAAAGCTCTTTCAAGTTCTCCACCTGGTACGAAAATTTCCGAAGGCGGGAAACGACATACCCTCACATATTCATTTTTTCACCCAACACAACGTACTGCGTGTTTACAGTGCCTTGAGCTCTGTGTGTGTGTTTCCACTATTCTCAAAACTCAGTCTGAAACAATGCAAGCTTGAATATACGGGGGCACCCTACTCCCTTTTTAATAATAAACCATCATCTAATTCCAGATACACATTCAGGGGTTCGGTTTAACAGTAAGTTTACATGCAGTAAAGGACAGTTGTAGCCACTCGTAGCGGTGCCCTAGCCAGGAGTCAGGGATCGCAGGGCCGGCTTCCCCGCCAAAGGCGGAGCTATGTCGGGATGGCTCCGGTTTTTCACGACTCGTGGGCACGGTCAGCCGGCGTCCCCGGGGTCCCGCCCCTCTGCGGCACCCGCTGTGCTGCAGCGTCCCAGCCTCTCCCGGTCTCCGTACCTGCAGGCCACTCCGCTTGTTCCAGGTAAAAATGGACCCTGGGTACCCACTCAGAGCCAAGAGCAGTTCGTGAATCATTTCTGGGGAGGCCTCGGAGTCCCGGGATTTACCGCCTTCTCTCTCAGCGCCCCTGCGGGCGCCCACTCACACCCAGCCGAGCCCCTCGCTCGCCCAGACACCCCGCAGACCACCGCGCGCCCGCGAGCAGTCACCGGGATGCGCACCGTGTCCCGGAAGTGCGCGCGGCTCGGGGGCGCCCACCCGCTCGCTCCCGCCACGGAGCGCGGTGGAGGCGCCGGAGGTGCCTTCGCGCATGCGTCTGGGGAGCCCGGAGTGGCTCGCTCGGACTTCCGGCTTGAGAGCCCTACTGAGGCTGCTGGCGGGCACGACTGGTCTTAGCCGGACCGGAATGGTTGAGGCCGGCCCAGGGAGAGGGACGCTAGTAAGCTGACAGGCAGGCTGAGAGAGGCGGCCAGGGCTGGGCTGGAGGGAGTGCTCGGGACGCCTCGGCAGGGTCTGTGGCATTTTGACCGACTGACTGCACGACTCTCAGAGTGACCCAGCCGGAGGGGAGAAGACAAAGAGGCCAGAACCTGACAGCCGCCGCTGTGGAGCAGCGCTCGCAGCCCACGGGCTCGCAGCACTGGCCAGCCCCGGCTTCGTTCTCGGGAGACCCACTACTGCCTCCTCTTGGACCGCCTCGCTTCACCAACTCCTGTGACCCTTCCCCAAGGCCACTTGAGTGTAGAAGTCCAAGTCAGCTTCCCCACTGCGGGAGCTTGCCCATCTGTCGCTCCCGTACTCTTGCTGAGTTCTTATTTCGGCAGGGAGGAGCAAACGAGAGACCCAACATTCCGCACTTCACTTTGGTTCGGGCTGGAGATTCGTAGTTTGGCATTCGAGGGGGCGGGGCGGACGCCTGGGGCTTCCGGGAGGACCGCGGAGGTTCGGGGAAGATTAGCCGCCCCCCGCTGGACAGAGGCTTTTGTTGTCAGCCTAAAAGTCTCCCTGCTGCTGCCGTCCGCCTGGGGTCCCGTGCGGTTCGAGTTGACTCTACAGCTTTGATCTAAGTCAAGTGCGCCAAATGCGAGCCGATTTAGGTGAGGCTGAGAGTAAAGTAGACGGGTTTTCCCGTTCTTTGCCACTTCCGAGGAATGCCCTAGTCGGCACCCAGAACTGCAGCTTTTGAAAGATCATTTTCGCCTGGCTCTTGATTTGCTGTCCTGAAATGGCACTACCTCCGAAGACCACTTGGAGCGTACGGAAAGTCAGGCCGACTCTGGCAAGACTTTAAACTTGTGGAGATATTCCTCTGATAGGAAGACACTCCTTTTTACAGAGAGACTCGGCTGCAGCTGTTTCTGCAGGGACATGGGGAGATCGTGAACTAAGTCTGGAACCCAGATGCGAAGAGGAAACTGCTCTCTGCGGCGAAGGATGGCCAAACCCACTCTGCGAGGAAACGGCACTAACTCTGAATGCTTACGACAGCGCTTCAGGAGATTCCATTACCAGGAGGTGGCTGGGCCCCGCGAGGCCTTCTGCCAACTTTGGGAACTTTGCTGTCGGTGGCTGAAGCCAGAGGTGCGCACCAAGGAGCAGATTGTGGAACTGTTGGTGCTGGAGCAGTTCCTGACGGTGCTGCCTGGGGAGATCCAGAACTGGGTACAAAAGCAATGTCCGGAGAACGGAGAGGAGGCCGTGACGCTGGTGGAAGGCTTAGAGAGAGAGCCTGGGCGACCTGGGCATTCGGTGAGGAGGGGGAATTCAGAAGTGTGTGGCTGGGAGGGGCAGTTAAAAGATCAGCCAGGTGGAGAGAGGTTTGGTGATTTTCTACTCTCGTCTGGAAGGGTTACTTCTTCAGAAGGGCTTGTCTGGAGATGCCAGCTGGGTATACCTCTGTCCACTCTTATAGTGCGCGTCTCTCTCACTTCAATTTTTGTTGTTTTTTTTTTTTTGTATTTTTAGACAGGATTTCTCTGTGTAACAGGTGGAACAGCCTTGGCTGGCCTGGAACTCTTTCTGTAGACCAGGCTGGCTTTGAACTCACAGAGATCTGCCTGCTTCTGCCTCCTGAGTGCTGGGAATAAAGGTGTATGCCACCAAAGTCCAGCTCACTTCAATTTCTTAATTTCTTTTCCTTTCTCGTTTCTTTCCTTTTCTCTTCCTTTCTCTCTCTTTCTTTTTTTCTTTTTTGTTTTTTTTTTTGTTTGTTTGTTTTTTTGTTTTTCGAGACAGGGTTTCTCTGTAGGTTTGGAGCCTATCCTGGAACTAGCTCTTGTAGCCCAGGCTGGCCTCGAACTCGTAGAGAGCCACCTGTCTCTGCCTCTCAAGTGCTGGGATTAAAGGCGTGCACCACTACCGCTCAGTTTAATTTCTTAATAGAGAAGAAATGTAAAGATTTCTTTCTTTCTTTCTTCCTTCCTTCCTTTCTTTTTTTCTTTTTCTGTTCTTTTTTTTTTTTGTTTCCCCCAGCTGGTAATTGGGTTTCTATTTTGACCTTTCTGGAGTTCAAGCCACTGTAAACTGATGATAATGGATAAACACTTCTTTGTCCTAATCTCCCCACCCCTAACGTTCTGTTCTTGCCTCAGAAGCATGGTCTCTTTGGGGATACTAAATAATCTCCCCTGGAATGGGGGTTGTTTTCAGGTCTCCTCGGAGAAGAGGACACCCCTGAAATCATCACAGGAGTTCTTAGGTGTTCTTCAGGAGTCAGTGGAACCCCAGCCCAGGGGTGTATCCAAGAGAGAGCAGGCAAAAGGCCCAGCCCCGGGACCACAGAAGCAGATGAACCTGGAGACTCTCAGAGCTTGCCAAAGGAGCGGTGAGGAGTGACTTGTGGGAAAACAGAGCCATTCTACCTGTGAAGCAGGAGTGGGAAAGGGGTTCTGAAATAGTGGAAACTGTCGACTGTGGTTGTGGGGCCTTCTGAATTCAGGTAGTTCAACCCTCTAGCAGTGAGTATTCTTAGATGTCTTCCAGAGAACAGCTGCCTAGTTTCTATTATAGTTAGAATAATCTTATGCCTTGGTGATAGATGCTTATTTTCTAGGTATACTTTCCTATACTCAAGATACTTTTCTTAGAGTTGTTTCTCTTTTCCTCTAATTGTCTCCATTCTTTAGACCTAAGTTCTTATTCTCTACGTGGGAGTTCTCTAAATACCTTAATTGTGGAGAATGAAATTACATCTGCATTATTCCTTGGAGGTCTGTTATGTAAAAACAGTAAGGATGTTACTTCAGAATTTGCAATGTCTTCTTCCAGGACAGCCCACATATGACCATATAATGGTCTTTCTTCACCCTGTAACCAGGGGTTCTTGGACTCTAGTGCCTTTGTACCCAGTTACTTCTACTTGATTTTTTTAAAACTTGCTTTTCTTTTTTGTGGTCTTTTGAACTACATTTTGTGTTTATTAGTTAAAACTTGTTGAAGTTGTTTTGAATTCTGATCTTGTCATCCAAGATGACAGTAATGGCATTCTTGGTTAGTGTGATAATGGTCTTTAGCCACCCATCGCAGATACCTCAGCCTCAACATATGGACCTACAGAATAATCAGGTTTTAATTTAAGCACCTACCATGTGCTGCAGGGTACATACAGTGCAGTAAGAAAAGGTACCTGTTGGCCAGTGAGCTGACTCAGCTGATAATGGTCCTTGCTGCACAGGTCTGGTGACCTGGGTAGAATCAAGTCCATAAGTCCTTAGCCTCCAGCAACTATAGCATGCGCACCCCACATATATCATGCACACACAATGAAAGTTTTGTTAAAGTGCCTGTTATCAAAGAGCTGGCACTATAAGAACATAACAGTGAATTATGAATATGCACTTAACTGTCGGAAAACAGTGTTAAGGACTTGCTTAGTTGTTCTGTAAAGGATTAGCAGTGTAGCCTTGAAGTGGGGCTGTAGGGAACACCTCCCGGGGGCATTGGCAAGGGGCTTCCCAAAGGCTGGGTGAGTGTGGACAGGAGGAAGAGAGGCACAGGTGAGTAAAAGTACCACACTCTGAAGATAACAAGAATGGATGAACTTCTAGACACAAAGTTAAGGTTCAGCAGGACAGTGCCCGCTGTGGCGTCTGCTGGGGGCAGGAGGGGGTGGTGGTGGTTAAGGGTCTGTACTTGGATGGAGGGCAGGATGTACTGAGGGAAGCACTTAGAATTTGGTGACTGAGTGTGAAGCAGAATCAAGTTGAAGACAGGTCCACCCTCACCCCCAGCCTCTTGAAATCACTGAATTTAATTCTCAGGACTCATGTGAACAAAATAGGAGCCAGGAGTGACTAACAGAGATATGCTACCACTTGTACACAAGCAGTGTAGAGGCCAGGGAGCAACTTGGAATGGAAATACCTGCTCTAAACACACAATAGAATATTTTCTTCTCTTCTTGTTCTGCTCTAGAACAGAAATCAAATTATTTTTCATCCTCTGAGGTTTCTTCAACTCACTGAACTTTTTGAAAGCATCTCCTTTATAATTTTTAGAGGCCGCGAATGTGACTCAGTTGCTAGAGTGCAGTGAGCACAAGACCTCATTTGACCCCAGTGCTCCATAAAACTCAGCATGGTGTGCACACTTGTAACCCAGCACTTAGGCAGTGGCAGAAGAGCAGAAGTTCATGGGTTATACGAGACCCCATTTCAAACAAAGATAGAATTCCTTCGATGAAAAAGGCGGTGCTGATTTGAAAGTTTTATTGTTGTTGTTATGATCAGTCCAAACTATGACACTTTGGTTTCTTCCCTGCAAACAGGATCAGTTCCTAAACCCGATGTGGTCTCCAGGTTGAATCAAGGAGAGCCATGGATCCCAGAGCTCAGCTCCAAGGAGAAAGATGTCCCAAAAGGCCACAGCACAGGAGACAAACAAGTTTATACTGATCCATTCCTATCCCAGAGAGAGAGAAGTAGCTGGGTGGAACAGGATCACTGGGGTTTTGATGAGGAGAAGGTGGTGGGTGTGCACTGGGGCTACAGAGAGACTAGAACACTCCTTGCAATTCTCAGTCAGACTGAATTTTATGAAGCTCTCCGAAACTGTCATAGGAACAGCCAAGTGTATGGGGCTGTAGCTGAGAAGCTGCGTGAGTATGGCTTTCTCCGAACCCTGGAACAGTGCCGGACCAAGTTCAAAGGTCTTCAGAAGAGATACAGGAAGGTCATGAGTGGCCATCCACCTGATACCTGCCCTTTCTTTGAAGAGATGGAAGCCCTGATGAGTGCCCAGGTCATTGCACTGCCCATTAATGGCCTGGAAGAGGCCGCTTCCCATGCTGGCCAGGCAGGCACGGAGACTGAGACTGAGGAGCCGGCACAGAGGGCTTGGAAGCCTGAGGATGGAGAAGAGGCTGTGGCTGCAGGGTCTGACAGTGATGACCTGGAGGCAGTCCCCCAGGACCGTGACAACCCACCTGCATCTGTTCTCTTCCGAAGCCAGAGTGGTAAGAAGCTATTCTAGGGCTTTTGGGATTAGGTTTAAGGAACAGTGAAACCGGATGTGGAGCTATCCATTGTTACCTGCCCGCTTGGCCACTTTAATAGGGAGCAGAGGTACTTCTCTTCTGTGAGCAAATAATGAGATAATAGTAAAGAATAGATTTTTTTTAAGTGCCTGAAATTGAACCTGGGGCCTTAAACACATACTAGGCAAACACTATACCATTGAGCTATATCTCAAACTTCAGACTTAGATTTTCCAAAGAAATATACCCAAACAATCCAGCTGTCTTTAAAGGGGTTAATTTTTTTTTATTAAAATACTTTTCCTGTTTATAAAGCAGGTTCACTGAAAAAAAAATGATACTTTGTTGTTTTTATTACTTTAAAAAAAAAGGTTTATTTATTATGTTTACAGTGTTCTGCCTGTAGGCCAGAAGAGGGCACCAGATCTTATCACAGATGGTTGTGAGCCACCATGTGGTTGCTGGGAATTGAACTCAGGACCTGTGGAAGAACAGCCAGTGCTCTTAACCACTGAGCCATCTCTCCAGCGCCATTTTTATTACTTTTTAAACAGTGATTTTTTTAAAAAAAAAATGTGGATAAAACATGACTGAAGCAAAAGCTTTTCATAATCTTTGTTCTTCTCATCTTTTCATGCCTCTCCACTTTTCCTCCCATACTTTGGATCTTTTCTACTTTACTCCCAGTAAGTAGAAAATAATGGAAGGAAGTGTTCAGATGGGAGAGGACTGTGTGGAACCTTCCCTGTCTCCATGGGTACCTCAGACAGGAGACTGTTCTTGCCTGAGAGCACTGAGAGCTGCAGCGTAGCATGTGCTCCTGCTTCTTGCCTCGCTCTGCCCTCTGCAGTACTCCACCCAAAGATAAAGTACAGACTGTAAGACCCCTCAGGGATTTGCCCTTGCTGGGGTTGCTTAATGGAGATAGTAACAGATGAAGATAGACCAAGATAGGAATTTGATAGCAGTATGATTCTAAAAGAGGCAGCTCCTTGGAGTTTTAATTCATTCTTTTTATTATTATTATTTAAAATTTTATTTGAAAAACTTGTTAATTTAAAAAAATGCCAAAACTAACAAGACTACTTTGATTCTGAAGCCATGAAGCTTTGCATTGGACTTTACACTTTGACTATCAAATATTAAATCATCCTGTAGGAAGAAAATGGTTATGGGGAAAAAAGTTAGGGATGATGCATTGTGACTGACAGCAATTGTGGGTCTTTTTTTCCTGATGAGTGATTTTTCTATTTGGGATTACAATTTCAGAAAGATTAGTAAATGAGAAAAGAAATGCACTCTGGGGGGCTGGAGAGGTGGCTCAGAGGTTAAGAGCACTGGCTGCTCTTCCGGAGGTCCTAAGTTCAATTCCCAGCAACTACATGGTGGCTCACAGCCATCTGTAATGAGATCTGGTGCCCTCTTCTGGCCTGCAGACATACATGGAGGCAGAATGTTGTATACATAATAAATAAATAAATCTTTAAAAAGAAAAAAAGAAATGCACTCTGTACACATACTTTAGTCTATACTAGTTGTTCTTGTTACTGACAAGATACCAGACAATGGCAGCTTAAGTAAGGAGGAATCTGTTTTGGCATAGTTTGAGTATGTCCATCATGCTGGGAAGGATGTGGTGGTGGGAGCTGCTCCCAATGTGGCAGTGGAGCAGGAAGTAATTAGTGCTGCTCTATCTGTAGTCAGGAAACAAAAGAGTGATGCACGCTCGTCCTCAGTTTGCTTTTCTACCTTTTAATTCAGCATGGGACCCCAGCCCACAGGATGGTATCACCCATATTCAAGATAGGTCTTTCCTTAGCTAACCCTTTCTGGAAACACCCCACAGACATGCCCAGTTGATGAAGATTAACCATCACAGTGCATAATGAATGTTGCCTTAGTCATCTGGAAAAGGCTTGGTTTCTGCAAAGCCCCAGTGCACAGCTGCACCAGAGGAGAGATTTCAGCATCCCTTAACCCAGAGCTTTAGAGCCTGAATATAGAAACAATGCATGGGTAGGTTTGGGAAACATGAACCTTTTAAATCTAGGAACCTGAGCTTAGGCGGCCTCCCTCTCTCTCTCCTTTGCTTATAAACCCCAGGCCTCATGCATGCTTAGTACACTCTGAGGTAATGTCTCCAGCTTAAGTGGTTTTCCTTTAAGCAGGCAGTGAGACTGAAGAGCTAAGGCTCTAAGTTCTGGGTTAAGTGATGCTGAAAACTCTCTTCTGGTGCAGGTGTGCACTGGGGCTATGAAGAAACCAAGACTTACCTTGCAATTCTTAGTGAGACTCAGTTCTACAAAGCCCTCCAGAACTGTCACCGCAACAGCCAGTTATATGACGCGGTTGCTGAAAGATTATGGGAATATGGCTTCCTTAGAACCCCAGAGCAATGTCGGACCAAGTTTAAAAGCCTAAAAACCAGCTATCAGAAAGTCAAGAATGGCCAAGCACCAGAAACCTGCCCCTTCTTTGAAGAAATGGATGCTTTGGTGAGTGCCCGAGTTACTGCCCCACCTAGTGATGACCAGGAAAAAGAAACAGCTTCTTGCTACCTCCAGGGAACCAGTGAGGCTGAAGCTGAGAAGCAAGCCGAGGACACAGAGGAGGAAGATTCAGGTGATGATGACGATGATACTGAAATACCCCCAGGTGCTGTTACAACCCGTGCCCCAGTATTATTCCAGAGCCCTAGTGGTAAGGTTCTTTACTTTTACTTTTTGAGATGGTTCATGTAGCTGAGATTGACCTTGAGCTCACTGCAGAGCCAAGGATGCTCTTAAACTCCTGATCCTCCTGTCTCTACTTCCTAAGTGGTGGTATTCCAGATGTGTGCCCCCACGCCTGGCTAAGATTCTTTCAGTTCTGATGGTGTAAATAGCAAAAGGGAGGCTATAGAATTTAGGAGAAAAACCATGGAATGGAGAGCTGAGCTCTATACCCAGCTTTCCTGAGTTCTTATCTTTCTTCCCCATGTTTCTTATCTATTAAAACAGCTCAGTGAAAAGCTACAAATTATTAATGTGTCTTCCTTCAGCACACGACAACATCACTTGCTTCCAAATTTTGTAGATTTGCTGCTAGGTTTCCAATTTGCAGAGCAGCTAATCGGAATGGGGACATTTCCCAAGTAGCATGTCACATATTCTGCAGAATGAAATTTATTTTTACAAATTATACTTATGTTTTTCTTCTAGTTTTAGCATGTCTGGGTGGGCTATGTAGAAACCTGACAAGCCTTTTCTTAAGATACATTTATTTATTTTGGTTTTTTTGAGACAGGGCTTTGCTGTGGCTTTGAGCCTGTCCTGGTACTAGCTCTTTTAGATCAGGCTGGCCTCGAACTCACAGAGATCCACCTGTCTCTGCCTCTCAAGTGCTGGGATTAAAGGCGTGCGCCACCGCCTGGCTCAGATACATTTTATCTTAGGTGTATATATGTGGACCTGAGTGGATGCACGGGTAGCATGTGTGCAGTGTCCTTCAAGGCCAGAGGAGTGTGTTGTGTCTATTGGAACTGGAGTTACAGGCAGTTGTGATCTGTCCAGTGGAGGCACCAAACCCAGGTTCTCTGTAAGAGCACCACTGAGATGTGTCTGTCTCCAACCCCTTCAGAGAAATTTTTATCTGCAGGTTTCTGTGGGAACTAACTAAAATCTTAGCTGCTGTATAAGAAAAAAAAATTATTCCAATATGGTTTCCCTCCTTGTAGGAACAAGAGTTCTAATTTTGGACTCATACATATTTAGTCGTATGTATGACAATCTCCAATATTAGCCAAGTGATTTAGTGCAAGTTACTTAGCCCCGTAAATTTGCTATGCATAAAGACCTTGGGCTGGGCGTGTAGTTTAATGATAGAGTGCTTGCTTGGACATGCCCCAAGCTCTGGGTTAATCATTCATATTGAAAATGAAACGAAAGTTGATGTAACTGAGGTACTATATAAAGCACCCACCACAGTGCTAGGCACATAGTAGATATTCAATAAATAATAGTTTTCACTTCATAAGACTTTTAAATCAGCATTCTGATGTTGCATTGAACATTAATATTTTACAAAGAAAGTTGATTTCTGAGTTTGGAAAATACTAAATAACCCTCTTGGAGATGCACAATACACATTTTAAAGACTCTAAGATCGCAGTCAATCCAGCAAATCTCTTACTTTTTGGACCAACTTTCAAGTATAAGCTTCTAGGGAATACATATAGACTTACACTCAGTATTCCAGGGAATTCAGGATCCAGAGTTAATGCGAAAATGTGACTTAGTGCAAATTCTCATAGCCTAGACTTAAAGGCCAGAATTTTCTTTTTAAGATGTTAAAAAGTTTTCCAGTTGGGCTCAATTACAATGTTTTTGCAACATTTAGGTTTTGGAGAGAATTTCTAGTGAAGCTTTTCTCTGTTGAGAGCCTTTATTCTTTAAACACTGCTACATGTATTTTCTTCCTCGTATTTTTGCTTTGTTTTTTTCTAACAAAGATTGGAATGTGAGGGGGAGGGGACTCATCAAAACTATTTCTGGTTATAGAAATTTCCCAGGAAATGTTCCTGGGCATTTCCTTCTAAACCCTTTAATCTCTGGCAAAATATGACCGAGAGGTGACCGAATGACAGTGTGGAAAGTGTCTGTCTGTAAACACAGAAATTGCCCTCTTTAAAACCCAGTGACTTCTTGCTGTTTTGAGTTTCTCTGTAGGTACTGGGTATTCAGAAAGACCAACCAGCTCCAGTGTAGACTATATAGATGCAAGGTATGTGATAGGTCCTACATAGGGAAGAAAAACACTGGAATTTTAATAATCCCAATATAGTAACTTTTGGGCAGAAGCCTTACTATTTTATTATTATTATTTGAGACAGGGTCTCACTATGCAGCCCTGGCTGGCCTGGAATTTGCTTTGTAGGCCAGGCTGGCTTTAAACTCATAGAGATCTGTCTGTCTCATCCTCCCCAAGTATTAGTATTAAAGGTGTAAACTATCATACCCAATTTAAAAATATTTTAAAATACTTTAAAAAATTATGTCTGTCCATGTGTTGGCTATGCACATCTGACTGAGTACAGTTTCCAAGGAGATCAGAGGCATCAGCTTCCCTTAGAGCTGGAGTTACAGGTGATTGTGAGCCCACCTGGTACTGGTGCTGGGAACTAAACTCAGGTCCTCTATAAAAGCAGTGCATGCCCTTGACTTCAGAACCATCTCTAATATCTCCATGTGTTTACTTTTCTTTATTTACTTAGGGGCACATACACCATGGTACAAGTTTGGAGATCAGAGGACAATTCATGGAGTTGGTTCTCGTTCCCCTATGTGGGTTCCAGGAATTGAACTCAGTTCATCAGGTTGAGCAGCCAGTACCATTACCTGCTAAGCCCTGTGCTCCCACCCCACACCTTTCATAAATTCAAAATGTGGAACTTACTGACCACTTATTTGTAATCATCTAATGTAATACTAGTTTCTCCCAGGTTTGCTTTGTTGTGGTACATTAAGGAAATGAATAACTTTTCAAATTGTGTTCTTATATTAGGTTTTGAGGCTGGATTTGATAACGAACAGAATCTTAAACGAGATATTTCTGAGGAAGTACAGCTGCATAGGACATTACTTGCAAGGTCTGAAAGGAAAATTCCCTGTCACGTGAATCAAGGTAAAGCTTTTAAGAATGAGTGTTCATCAGAAAGCCAGGAGGAAAAGACTCAGAGGGAGAAAAAAAGAAAACTGGCATTCCCAGAGAAGAGTATCAGTACAGTCCTGACTTATCGGAGACCAGGCTTGGGAGACAGATCCTACAAATATCTCAGGTATGGCAAAAGATTTGACCCAAACTCCCATCTCATGTATCAGGTATCCCATCAGGTAGAGAATCCATATAAATGTGCTGACTGTGGGAAAAGCTTCAGTCGAAGTGCACGCCTCATCAGACATCGGAGAATCCACACTGGAGAGAAACCTTATCAATGTGTGGACTGTGGGAAAGGTTTCCGTGACAGTTCCAATTTCATCACCCACCGGAGAATCCACACAGGAGAAAAGCCGTACCAGTGCAGGGAATGTGGAAAATGCTTCAATCAGAGCTCAAGCCTTATAATTCACCAGAGAACCCACACAGGAGAAAAGCCATACCAGTGTGAAGAGTGTGGGAAAAGCTTCAATAACAGTTCTCATTTCAGTGCACATAGGAGGATACACACAGGAGAGAGGCCCCACGTGTGTCCTGACTGCAGTAAGAGCTTTAGTAAGAGTTCTGACTTACGTGCACATCGCAGGACCCACACAGGAGAGAAACCTTACGGGTGCCATGATTGTGGCAAGTGCTTCAGTAAGACCTCTGCCCTTAATAAACACCGAGAGATCCATACACGAGAAAAGGGGCTGTCACAGTCCATGTCTAAGTAAGCCCCCAAGGAAGGGCCTCAGCAAACGTACTGTTTGAAGTCCTCTCCTGTTTTGTGCCCAGTTGGCTTAGGAAGCACTCCTCAGGATTTTTGCCCTCTTTGTTCCTTATGTTTCCCAAATCTAGCCTAGTCAAATGTCAGTGGTTTTAAGATGAAAAGTAGATTTGGTCTGAAATGATGATGGTAATAATGTCTTCCCTCGAGAGGATATGGTGGTAGATCCTGTAGGTCTCATGTATGTCTTTCACTCGTCCTGTCATTAGTGCACTTCAATTGGAAACCCATCTCAGCAGTTTTTCAAAGGAGCTGTGAGACCACTCATTAATTGGACCATCTTGCTCACTTAAACCTGTGTATACTCTTCATTTATCTTTAAGGAACGTCTTTTTCTTTTTTTCCCAAGAATCTGGGCTGGGGGTGTAGCTCAGTAGTAGTAGAGCACTTAGTATGCACAGGGACCTGGGTTCAATCCTGAGTAACACACAGAGACAGAGAGACAGTAAGTTAGGGAAAAATGTAAGCCTTCTATAAACACTGAATTTCTTAGTTTCTTCTAGATTCTACAAAGGGTATAATAATGCTATATATACAGCATCTTCTTTGATTTTTCCCTTTTCTCTCCTTTCCTCCTCACCTTCATCTAAATTTTATCTGTCCCTTGTGGACTAAAAGCCAAAAGAGCAAACTAGATAGAGTGAGTCACACAAAAAGCAGTTAAAGCTACTAATAGGAGTCATCTATTTTTCCTACACTCCACATACATATTTTATATATATATATATATATATATATATATATATATATATATATATATAGAGAGAGAGAGAGAGAGAGAGAGAGAGAGAGAGAAAGAGAGAGAGAGAGAGAGAGCAGCCTATGGGTGCTCAGTACTAATTTTGCAAGGAGCAGAACCACTGCCATATCCCCATGTACAGGTAAAATATACTTTACCCTAAATGACAGGGAAGATGGTGGAGCTACCAATCTACACACACTCAGCTATACAAATGAAAGTATCTACTTGAACACAAAAGTAATTATGGGTTTTCAAAATTAGGTGATATTGAATTAATTCCTACATACTCATAGACTTATGATGAGCCCTGTACAATACAAGTAAACAGTCCTTACCCTTGTCTTTATACTGGAAAACAGATAATACATAGACAGAAAACCTAAACATATATTGGTAACATTTATTATTTCTTAAAGAGAGGTCTTACTAGGTAGCATTGGCTGACCTGGAACTCACTGTGGCGATTACACTGGTGTTGAACTCACAAAGATCTGTCTGCCTCAGCCTTCAAAGTCCTAGGATTAAAGATATGCATCATCACGACAGGCTGCAACTGTTTTAAAGAAATTTAGGAAGCTAAGTAGTGTTACTATACTAGACATAAGTTTTAATATAGCTTGCTTGCTCTGAGGAAAATCTGGAAAGTATTTTTTCAGGAAACAGTAAGCATTCAAAGGAAGAAGAGTAACTAGGTAAGTTATAGTGAGATAGACTTTTAAAACTAGTTGTAAAATTGGTGCTAGGTAGGTAAAAAGTGAAAAAACATTGAAGCACAGGACAAAAGGTATAAAGTTCACTAAAGAAGCAGGAAAAACCTAATGAATGTATGATATAGCTGTACCATAGGCAGAGAATCAACTCAGCGGAGAAGGAGTGGTGGAGGGAGACCCTGAGATGTACTGTGCTAAGCCTACTGACATCGGGATGGCAGCTTTACTCAGGGAAAAACGAGTTTTAAGAGACTAGCTCTTTTGAGAGATAAATATCAGAAATTACCATCTATTGAAGAAAAGATGGCCAAGACCTGGAATCACTAACTTTCACATTTTCACTTTTATTAGATACCCACGAGTAGATTAAGATCTGAGGTAGTAGTGAGGAGAAAAGGCTGTTCCAAAATTTCTTAGGATGAGTAATTAATTAGGGTTCTGGTATTAAGGGATTCTAAACAAAGAACTAACATTAACAATTAAGGAGCTGGGTGGTGGTGGCACACGCCTTTTATCCCAGCACTCAGGAGGCAGAGGCCAGCCTGGTCTACAAGAGCTAGTTCCAGGATAGGCACAAAGCTACAGAACCCTGTCTCGCAAAACCAAAAAGAAAGAAAAAAAAATACAACTAAGGAAAAATGGTATCTTAATTATGCTACCAAAGCAAGCAGGAGGGTACAAGAAACCCCTGTCTAAAAAAAAAAAAAAAAAGGCCTTAGGACCTCAGGATTTGTAAGTGAGCTGCAATGTCAAGGAAAATAGGATTATTATTTTTAGTATAAATCTATGTATAATACCATGGAAAAGGCATAAAGGTATTAGCAAACAGATGGTTCCAAATGTATGTCTATTAAACTCCTTTTGTTTCTCTTCCTGTAAAGCAGAATAATGTTTACAGCACATCTGCTCTCAGGGATATCATGTTAATAAAAGTTATGTCTATAAAGTGCTCTGTGTTTCTTCAGGTGTTTCAGTGTACATTTATATATGCAAATTATATAGAATTATTAGCTTAATCATAAATTCTTTTGATTAAATTGTGGATGGTGGTGCTGCAGGAGCTACTTTTGCTCCACCAGCCAATGGCCTTTGAGATACCAGCCCACTGGGGTGTGGTGTCTTTCGCTTTAAAAATAAGCGGAGGCAGCCCTCTCGCTCTTGCTTGCTTCGGATTCCGCTTCTGGCTATCAGACGCTTTTCCTGGTTCTGCAGGAGGCTGTTGTCTAGGACGGTGATCTGTAAGTTTTTCCTTTTAAATAAATAACTCTTTTTATTAATCTTAATTCTGAATTTGCGTGGGATTGTTTTGTTTTGTGACTTACTCCATCATGGTAGGAAAAAAAATTCTGTTTTTCCCCCTTCTTGTTGTTATTATTAGTGACCTGCCTGAATTTTTACATTGAAGGCAAAGGAATAAATTACAATCACATCAAGATACCTAGGCAAGGAAAATGAGTCAGGTTTTAAATTACCCTTCAACTTCCAAATGAGGAGACTGTATAAAACGAACAGGTGAACTCTCTTCACTAAAGGAAGATCCAGGTCATCTCAAACTACCTCACAAATACTGCCCAGTCTGCCATTGCTGAGGGTGGACAGAAGCAAAAGTAAGCCTAAGAAAGCACTAAGGGGAGCAAGAGGTTTAGGCCTCTAACCCTTGCGTCATCAGCCTTTGTGGAAAAGGCATGCACAGAAACGCATATTGGTAGAAATGACATGACCTGCTCCCACCATGTTGCCTTAACACTGTTAACTACTTTCTCATATTTTCTCATTGAATATATTATACACACTAATTTTGTGTCAGTTTTTATTCTGTAACACTTTTTTTTTGTTGTTGTTGTTGTTTGTTTTTCGAGACAGGGTTTTGCTGTTCTTTGGAGTCTGCCCTGGAACTAGCTCTTCTAGACCAGGCTGGCCTTGAACTCACAGAGATCCGCCTGCCTCTGCCTCCTGAGTTCTGGGATTAAAGGCTTCTGTAACATTTTTAAAGGGTATAAAATACCCACATGGATGGTGAAGATACAGCTCAGTGGTAAAGTGCTTGCCTAGCACGGGCAAGGTCCTGTATTCAGTTCCCCAGCACAGTAAAGAGAATGTCGTGGTCTGTGCTGCCCAAGGCCATGTTGATGTCCCAAGTCCGTCTGGCTGCCAGGGGCCACGGTGCTCTGCGGTCTGTTACTACCAGCATCCTTGTAGATGCCCATGATCTGTGCTGCCCCTGGCTAAAGGGGAAGGAAGCTGCTTTTGCAGTGGAATTGATGACTGTAGACTCACAGCTGAGATGAGAGACCTCTTTTCCCCACATTCCAAAAAAGAACCAGTCTAGACAGGAAGCCCCTGAAGAAAACTCTTTATAAAATTTGTGATAGGGATTCTGAAGTGTAGCTCTTCACAGTTGACAGCTTCTGGCAGAGGTTGGGTAAGAAAGGGCTCGGTTTTCTTTAAGGGGCTGGCCACTGGAGTTTGATCATGCTCCAGTGAGTAATACATGGCAACACAAATTGAACTTGGTATTTTTTTTTTCCTTTTCTTTGGGGGAGGTCTGAAGGTGGTGGAGTGGACCTAGGAAGACAGGGAGATTAATGGGATCAAGGTACAGTATGTGAAACTCCCAAATAATCAGTAAAAATATATTGGTGGGAAAAGGGTGACATTTTATGGATTTTTAAAAAATCTGTATAAACAGGGCGGCGGTGGCACATGCCTTTAATCCCAACACTTGGGAGGCAGAGGCAGGTGAGTCTGAGGCCAACCTGGTCTACAAGAGCTAGTTCCAGGACAGCTAGGACTGTTACACAGGGAAACCCTGTCTCAAAAAAAAAAAAAACTGTGTAAATGGATATACTTAGAAATGTAAGGTTATAAAACATATCTATGAACTTGAAAGTTTAAGTACCTCCTATTGTGTACCCAAAAGAAAGACACACAGAAGTCTCAACCTTAGTAACTGGATTAAGGGTGCCATCAGGCTTCTCTGAGATCAGGGAAAACATGCATTCTAAGAAGGACAGCAAGTCAAGCACTGTTTCATGGTTTTTAATGCTGTGATAAAACACTATGACCAAAACCAATGTGAGGAAGAAAAGGGTTTGTTTCTTCTTATAATTTGTAGTCCATCCTGAAGCAACGGAAGAGTGCTGCCTACTGGCCTGCTCCTTGTCGCTTGCTCAGTTTCCTTTCTTATTCCACCCAGAACCACCTGCCTCTGTGGGATGAGCCAACCAACTGATTAAGCACTGATTAGGCCAATCTGGTGGGAGCATTTTCTCAGTTTAGGGTTCTTCTTCTCAAATGACTCTAGCTTGTGTCAAGTTAACAAACAAACAAACAAACAAAAAACTAACCAGGACATCTGTTATCTGTTAAAGTTTTTTCTTACATGTAGAGCCAATCTTAGTTGTCCCTTGTCTTTGGCTAAAATGGTCATGGTATATATGTGTTTATGTTAGCCTATGCCTGTGGGCATGAGGTTATAGGAGATCTAAGAACCCTAGAAGCCACAATGCTACTATTACTAGAAAGATCTTTCCAGTGAGTCCTGGCACTGTGGAAGTCCTGGCAGCTTCCACAATGAAAGCTAAATAGAAGCTGATTTTAAAAGTGAAGCTCCAGTCTTATGTCTTTCTCACTTTGAGCCAGCAATTCTTTCCTTTTCCTAAACTGAAGTAATTAAATTCCCTTTATATATTTCTAAAGATATTATGAGAAGGGCAAAGCCAGATTCTAGCTTTTTTACTACATGGTCACCTGACAACAAGGCGCCCACACGAATGGCTGTGGTGTGCAATGTGGCCTGGCATCAACTGTCCTGAGAAACAATACCTGAAAGGGTTAGAAGAAGTGGCTAGGGTCTGATTACAGCTAACAAAACACAGAGGTCTTCCTGAAGACAAGCAGCTTCATCTCAGAAGTTTTATGATCAGTAACAGGAAGAGAATGCTAATTGAAAAAGAAAGTTACCAGTGGATGAGGGATTTAGTTAATGACCTCCAGTCCTCCAGCATCCAGCATGGAGGTGAAGCATGCAAGGTCTCAGGGCTTCTAGTCTAAGATATTACTGACACTTACTGGGTGTCAAGACCCCACATAGACTTGGTCCTGGCTTCAAGGGAAGTAGTGGACAGTTCACTGAGTGGATGTGGCAGATCTTGGCTACCACATATAGTTGGAAGTAGTTCACCCCATCCCATCTTAAAAGTGGAACACTTTGGGCTTCAGGTGATTCCACTGATTTCTCAGTTCAGATCTGGTGTTGTCAGAAGCGAAGATGTAGCTGATGGATTCATAAGACAGATCCCACACTTGAGATGGGGTCAAATTAAATGTTTCTGCTGCCAGTTGATATTCTTGAGAAAGATTTGTCGAAAAAACACCCTTGTCATCGGTCTGCCAATAAACAAGAACAGTTCAACATAAAGAAGTGCTTTGTAAAAACTAACCTTTTTTTGTTCAGAATCTATTTTCCTATGCTTCTTTCAATAGTCTAAAAAGGAACTTATAAATGTTCATCTGTAACAAACTTGTTTATACTTTTAAAAAGACCAGAGTACTTTAACCCTGGCTGCATATTACAAACAAAGAAAGAACTTTTAAAGCATATCTAAGCCCAGGACTCATTCCAGATCAAATAAAGCAGGGCCTATTAGATGGGTGCTGGGCACCTGCACTTTTTCTTTTCTTTCTTTTTTTCTTTCCTCTCTCTCTCTCTCTCTCTCTCTCTCTCTCTCTCTCTCTCTCTCTC